CCCTGGCCAGCCGGCACTGGTTTAAACCTTTTCAAGACACAGCAGCCTCACAATCTGAGAAGGCTTGAGAATCTAGTGAAAACTCCAACCAACTCAGTAATTACTGTAGTGTAGATTCAGAAAGAGACCTGAGAAACATTTCCCAAACTCTGTTGAGAGGATGGAAACATAACACTTAACAGAAATGTACAGCTGCTCCAGTAATCAGGTTAAAGGACAGGGAAACTCAATGAATGAAGTACCAGAATGGCAGCATGCTTTAAAGTGCCATTTAAATTAGCAGAGGAAAAATAGGACTTTTCATTACAATATATTGTCTCATAAAAATGGCTGTTGTAAACACTTTTTAAGAGCACGTCCTGTCACTGATGCAGAACGATACTGCAAGTAAGACATTCTAAAAAGGTAGATTTCATTTTTGATTCTCAAGGATTTTCAAACAAGAAAATTTGACTGAAATTCACTGACAAGATTAACAGTAATGTTAAAATCACGCCATCAAAAAGTAAAGCAGAGGCAGCAGAAAAGCTTCTGTTAATACTGATGTTACGTAAGAGCTTTGTATAACCAAAAGCAGGATCAGCACTGATAAAGTGCACAGAGTTTTATTTAAAAAAGTTTCTGGAAAGATAGGATGATGATGTTACCTTGAGAAAATCTTGAAATGACTCTGACAAGCAGATATCATAATTGCGTATAGCCAGTATCCAGTTATTCCGTGATTGATTTGAAGTCTGGCTTGACACTGCTCTCTGTCTGTCTGAGAGCCATGTGCTGCTGGCTTTAACATTAAAACATGTTGTGTAATGTAGTTGGAGATAGTTAAACTAAATAAGCCACAAATCTTCTCGAAAGGGTTGAATACAAAGATTTACATTTAGATTAAAACTTTATTAAGCGTTATCATACCATTCCTTCTCCACTACGCCCACATCCACACCTGAGGTAGTTCTAGCTTTCTTGTCATGAGCAATCTTTTCTTTAGTTTAGTTTCCTGACTGGCATAAAATGGACAATGTTGAATGAGTGTTGCATTGGACTCAAAATGGAGCCCTTGATGATAGGGCACCAGCTCCTGATGTGGAGCCGCAGAGGCAGCCTGTGTTTGTCTGTCGTACACTCGGGAACATGTGGTTTTAGTTACAGAATGTTTTACTGCTCAACAATGTTTCTGCCTTGGAGCTCAGCAGACTGCATAAAGACTACTTTGTCCCTTGATGCCCACACGGGGAGAGGCTGTCTTATTACACAAAAAAACACACTCACAACACACAAACGCACACCGGTGAGGATGACATCAGCAAGCCCACCGAGCCAATTTCGATAAAGGTGCCGTTTTCCCTCCGGACCATGCTTCATAAAACATGCTTTGGCACACTCTAGCCATTGTAATACAAGGCATGAAAATTTATATTTCACTACCTTTTATTTGAACTATGCCTTCATTCGAATGCGATTGTCTATCTGCTTGTAGCCGGCAACAGCACATGGCAACAAAATCCCGCTGCTAAGATGTATCGCAGGATAAGTGCAAAAGCAGACTTGCCACCATTTCATATGTGCAGCACTGAAACCAATAAAGATCAGATATACTGAGTGGTACATTTTAATAATAAAAAAGGGACAATGAGACGAGAGGAATCGCTCATGTGCAGAAACTCAAATAAAACTTCAATGCTGAATTGTAAATTACCAAAAATGTAACAAAGAGATCTCTTCAGCCTATAATCCGGGAGACGTGAGGAAAATCAAGGAGGTGACAAGTGGACGCGGAACATGTCACTAACGCGGCAACACACCTGCAGCCCCTTTCCATTCACAGTGGTCTTTTACAACAAGAAAATGGGACTGTGATCTCATGGCCCTGTTCAAGGGAGGTGATTAGCACACCCAGGAGTGCTAAGTAAAAAAGGCCATGGGCAAGTTGGAGGATATCTGGCATGAAGTCACTGTGGTTGTCACTTGTAACACTTGAAACCGTGCTCTTCAGAACCAGAGTGGTGCTAAACACCGGGCACATGTATTGTCGCGGCTGAAGCCGAGGACTCGCTTAACAGCCTCGGCCCGGTGCCATGTTTGAACTCCATTTCCCAGCAACAGACCCGCCAAGGTCAGCAAGCCCCAACCAGCGCTAAGGTGCTTTAGAGGAACACTTAATGTAGAATGCTACATTCCCATTATCCCCCCACCTCCCGTATGCACACACAAACACACTTACACACAGACATACACACAATTCTATACTAAAACAAAGATGTCAAGTGTCACATTATTTCGAAAATGCTAATGCACGTGGAAATGAAAGGTTCATTTAAACATACTAACCATATTGGTTTTATTGTTAAGAGCATCATTTTGGGGAGTTTGGGCTTAATGTCAGTCGGCTCAGTTGTTTCAAGAGTCTGTTGTCTCTGTTCGTCACACTATCCAGAATGTAGCAATCTTCAGGAGCCTTCTAATCCCACAAGATGGCAACAAATGGTTGAGGCCTGAGGCCAAGTCAGAAAGAGCCAACCAAAAATTCTACTGAGTGCCAAAAACATCTCATCACGGCACAAAAGAAGCTGAAAGGTTACATTTGTTTGACTTCACTGCTGGTTGGGTTTAGCGCATTGACTGGAAACCTCACACATGGCACCGTGCAGCAATCACAAAGCCATTGCTGAAACACGTGCTGCTTCACGTCAAACAAAATATGCAGGCAAACTGCATCAGGTCTCTGATCTGTGTCTGCCGAGTGTATAACTTAAACCCCATATAAATCAATTCAATGCAAACCAAATGCTAGGATATATTTGACGGATATCAACATGTAGGATATATCAGAACTAGAGTTTAACCATTCTCAGTTAGGCCAAAAGATCATTGGTTGCTATAAGATTGTTGCTGGTGGAAAAAAAAGAAACAAAAAGTCTGAATGAAAAAATGATAAACATTGCCATCCTTTATTGCTAATTTCATACAAATATATGAAATACCAACTCTGATAATACCATGGTAAAAAGCATTTTCCAATTGAGATGGACAAGTAAAAGTACTCTGTCGCCATCCAGTGGGAAAAGACAGTAAATGTCTATTATGATCTTCAGATATTAGAGCTGGGTATCAATTTCCTATCCCCCCAATCAATTTAGAAATAGATAACTGTCAGTGTTAATGCACAAATATCTTGCTAACAGTAAAGTCCTGTGTTAATCAGGTAAGCAGAGCGGTCCTGGTCTGTACCGGTAAACATGCATCCCACCTTAACAGACTGATGTGTTCTTTCAGTGGTTTTCATCTCCGTGTAACTTGTAATTGTGCAAAAGTGGCTCGACACTGCAGATTATCCACTCTAATGAGCAACAAAAATCATGTACACCAATCATCCACAACCGTTTCCAGGATTACACTAACATCTGAGTTGATCACCAGTTTTCCATTTACCATCAAATATGCTCAGTGAGCGAATACAAATTATTGTAGAGAAGTAAATTCAAACTGCCACCGTTACAAATTCAATTAATTATGTTAGTCAACTGATAATGTGAAGAAAATATTTCTAAAAGACCTATGAAGGTTTGATACGTTTTCTTGTGTTGTTGATAAGATAATTAACATGCAAATGAAAGCTTGGAGCAAAACAGGAGCACTGCAGTTCTCCGTTAATAATTCCTGTGGAACATCACAATTATAAATTACAATGCTATTGGTTGCATAGACACTAATAGACTAAATGACATGTATGTAGAATAAAAGAATGGAAAGAAGGAATAATAATGGTTCCTGTTAATTATGAGTCTGATCCCAGGGGAGGGAGGTCCATGATGGACATGGAAAATTAGCAACTATGAATACATTATATAGTTGCACTGGAAAATAACGTTTGTATCCAGTCCTGACTCGAATTCTGAGCCACCAGAACAATAACCGTCTACTGCTTGAGCTCCGTTAGTGCTGCGATGCCTACCATTACCTGTTCTGCAACAGTTTGACACAATTTGAGTAAATTACAATAAAGATAAAAAATGTAATCAATGCAAAGATTACAAATTATTGCAGAAGCACAAAAGTGTTTAGAGCTTAGCTAAAGTTCCATCTAATTAACCGCTTCCAATTTGGCTAAATTAGCCCAAATAACCTGCCTATCCATAACATACCCTAAGGGAGAAAATAGTTTTTAATGTAAATAAAGTAAATGATTTATATTTCTTTTTTTTAAGTGAACTTCATCTTATTTATCCTAAAAAAAAAATTGATATTTTACTTTTTGCTTTTTATTCTCTCTATTCATGCTTTAACACGTTTCAATGAATTGCTGCAAGTATTTCTTGTTTCCCTTCTAATATATAGAAATGTATATAGTCTGATCTCTGGACAATCAACTGAGTAAGTTATTGATGTGAAGGCCCCTGTTTTGCTTTTGTATTACTTTCCAGTTTGCTCTGTCTTGTTTAGAAGGGAATATCATCTCCATATCTTTAAATCTGGTTTGCACATAACATTTTTGCTTTCTTCTCACTTCTAATTTCAGTAGGAATCCCACCAGTGATGTTGGTTTTATTCTTCTTAAAATACAAAAGGCTTTTTGTTTTTATCATGTCTTCTGTAGGACCACACCGGGACCCATAAGTCTGTCGCGGGATGAAAGCAGGCAGATGGAGAACTCCAGTTAAGTGTCAACCAGGTAATTCCTGACTTTGGAAAAAGAAGATATTGTATTCATGTTTACGCAGATATGGTAGCTGTTTTCAGAGCGAGAAAGCTTATTGCTCTTTTTATCCTTGTGGTATTCTAGATTAATTTAATCTGGTCTCTTCAAAATTGATGCGTTAATCTTGCAGTGCACAAAACAGTTTAGCAATTACAAAACCCAGAATCAAAAGCGGGAGGAACACTCGACTGAAGGTGCAGCCGGGGAAATAAACTTCTGTCTCAATTCAGGTAAGGAATCAGCGTTTGGTGGTCGATTATCATCTTAGGAAGTGTTACGGGGAGAAAAATGAGCTGTGGTGAGCACCTGTTTTCACTGAAAAACAGAAACTTTTACTACCTTTTACTATCTTGACTAGAATCAGTTAAAAAAAACAAAAGGACACTTTGATAATATTTAGTTTTTTTATTTTGCATTGCAAAAATCCACTATGGACAACTCCAACTATTCCATCTTAGTTTGTGGTCATCACCTGGAAAGGAAAAGATAAGATTCAAGATTAAATGTAGTATTTCCAGGGTAGTTCTTCACATAAGAACTGGATTCCCTTTGTAGAGAAAACAAACAAATGCCCTTGAATATGAAATTACATTCTAAATTGTTTGTAAAGACAGTTAGCATTCTTGGGCCCACACACAAGTATATAAAAAAAACAATTACACCATTATTGAGTCTCATGGACAAGTTGTTCATAACATATAAATGCTCTTGAACTCACGTTGTTGATCCAGCTGATGTAGGAGCTGACTCTGGTGAAGACGGATGGCTTCTTGGGATAGTTGCAACCCATGCTTGAGCCAAAGCTCACCACTCCCTGGACATCCCAGGAGCCGTCAGGGTTCTGACAGTTAAGGGGACCACCGGAGTCGCCCTGAAGCACAACAGAGACAAAAAGCGTACAGGTTTTTGTTGATCTTTTCAGGAGCTGAATTCAAGCATGAACGCGAGCTAATCAAATCCGGATCAGTGCACTCACGTTGCAGCTAGCCAGCTCTCCGTCGCCTCCGGCACAGACCATTTTCTCGGTGACCAGACTGCCCCACCAGTCGTACCTGGTGCAGGTGGAGTGGTCGACCACTGGGAGCAGAGCCTGCTGCAGGATGTCAGCAATGGGGCCTCCAGCTTTGGAATACAGCAGGACATTCAGATTCCTGGCTCAAAACCACTGTATTGAAGCTGAAGTAAGTTCTACACCTCATTTCTCAAAAATTATTTTGAAACATCAAATAATTAGCCAGTAACATTTAGGTTGACAGTTGATCTTTGTGTAACTCAGCTCTTTTGTGATACTTATAAGCAGGGACACCAGGAGAACATGCCGAGCAAAAGGAGATCTTCTCAGAAAAGCTTTCACTTTGCCGGTAGAACTTACTCCAGAGACGTCCCCAGCCAGTGACGTAGCAAGGAGCATTGTGAGGCAGGATTTCACCAGAGTTGGGGAGACAGGCAGCCATGATGGAGTTGGACAGTTTGACAGGGCTGGCCAGCTTGATCAGAGCAATGTCGTTACTGGAATGTGAGTAAAGAGGAAGTGTTAGAAAGAGCAGCGGTGAGCATTAACAACATGGAAAATATTCACAGCGGCATGAAAGAAAAGTCTAATCATTTCTCACCGGATTCTGTAAGAGTCCCACTGCTCGTGGACGACGATCTTGGCAGGGCTGATGGCGATGGATCCGGCCTCATTGTCAGTATCAAGGCTGTGCTTTCCCAGGTACACTCTGTAGGTGCGACTTCTGTTGGGCCACATGGAACACAAAAACAAGCATTAGTGCCACCCAGAACTGATCAGAGTCCACGAATGTACCTTTTCTTTACAACAATGTAACCCAAAACGGGTACAACACACTTTAGAGACACCTTTTTTTTGACAGTGCTGCCTTTAACATGTGATCAAATCTCTTTCACTTCCATATTTATCATGTATTGTCTCTTTTTGTTTTTTTTACCCGATGCAGTGAGCAGCGGTGAGGACCCACTGGTCAGAGATCAGGGTACCACCACAAGTGTGATAGAAGTTGCTACCACTCTTGTACTGCAGAGACACCTGAAGAAATCACATGAAAGAGAAACACAAATGTGTGATTTGAGGAAGATGCAGAACTTGAAAGGAATGGTTTGAAGCGTTTATACCTGCCAGGGCCAGCTGTGCTGACGGACATCGTCTCCACCAACCACCCTGGTGAGGGTGGGGGGGTAGGTTGGCAGACCACACCCGTAGGCTAAGGGACAAAAATTGAAAACATGGCGATTTAGAAATGTTTCATGTATTATTTCACAATCTCAGGTTTAGGCGTTTAGAGATGCATGTAATTTCATAGTCGGTCGAAAATCATCAGCTTACCACCAGCAACAAACAAAGCCAAGATCACAAACATCATCGTGACAATCTGTGACCGTCTGGGTGAGTTGCCCCTTTTATAGCTCATAGCTGCAGACCTCAGATGTGTCGGTTCACATTCATTCAAGCACAGACAGGAAAAATTTCTTGGAAAAAATAGTTCAACCTTGAAGATAAGCAACCGTCGATATCAACAAATACACCTTATCTCCCCACCTCTATTCTGCCCCTGTGTGAACCACACAGATGCTTCCACACACAGTCCGGTCTCTTCAATTTATATAGAAATTATCTTTAAATATCATGCTTAACTTGCATATTATCCATCTTTGGATTTGTATACTCCTTGCATCGTTACACTTAGTCACACATCGTCTGAATCAAATCTGTGAATTCTTTTATAATTGAACAAAAAAATCCTTACTAGACGTCTCAAAGAACTTGCTAATGTGTAACAGTTTTTCTCTGAAAATAGTCGTCTGCTGAACAGAGAAACTTGTTTGTGTCAAAAACCTTTGTGTACAAACTTAAAATATAGATACGAAGGGACAAAATTCAATAAAGACTTTTAAATACTTTATATATTGTGCCATCTTTGGTTTAATGTAGGACACATAGTACGTATTTTCAGCCTAGGAAATAAGCATCGATGTAAAGTTAGGTCAAGTTATTCAAATAGATTTGAAAATGTTCTAACTTTGATCAGTCAAACTTCAAAGCTGATGTAATTCAGATTTCTTCCAGCTGGAATACTAATGGAAAAACTCCTATCAACAACCACCTGTTATGTGTCCAGTATCCATTTATTTGACTTTCTGCTTGTGTATCTTTTCAAACAGCTTAAATACCATACAATCTTAACACACGAGAAAGTCTAAGCTTATGCCAACAAAAACAATCATGATGAGGCTCCTGGTTCTTGTTATCGTCATAGCCGGAGGTAAGATTTCAATCTTCTCTGACAAGTTACTTCAAACTTCGAGCTTTTAACATTTTAGTAAGGTTACATGCGCAACCACATATCTAAACATGTGTGTGTATAAATACATATATGTCATATAATTATATATCTTTGTGGATCATTGCAGAGTTGCATCAGTTTTGTACGTACAATTACATAATGCCATCATGATAACTGCGTTTCGGTGTGTTGTAAATTCACACAAAACACTCTGAAACACTCTGAACACTTTTTTTTCTCTTCTGCGAGCGAATGTCCATTTAGCTCCACCTCTGCATTAACATTTGCTATGGCGCAAATTGTCTGACGTTAATTCGGAGTTTTGTAGGTCACATAAACTTGTGAAAGGTATAAATATGCCAGGTGTTTATCACAGACTGCGGAGATAGAAACAAGATGGCATTTTGGCTGCTAGCTCTGTTTGTTGCAAGTGGTAAGGACTTTTTAGCTGAAAGAAATTTGCCATGCGTCTGTTTTTGTTTGACATTTTAACTTTCTTTTAAATTGCATGCAGGTTAAAAGCTGTGCAGTATTTGCAGTTATGAAAGTGTGTGTTCATGTGTCCTCTCAGCCTATGGGTGCGGCACCCCTCACTTTTCCCCCGTGGTGAACCGAGTGGTCGGAGGAGAGGATGTCAGGCCTCACAGCTGGCCTTGGCAGGTAAAGAAAAAAACATGCAATTTGAGGAATATTATTCAGAAAAGAAAACATCTGCTCTCAAACAAAGAGCAAAAGGAATTTAGGAAAATAGGACACATGTACTCCCATTACAGACATTCAGACATGAAAATCAATATTACCCCCTCAAGAAAACACAAAATGAAAACTTTAAAATTTAGACAGTAAATTGTTTTTTTGGGCCCGTTTCAGATTTCCCTGCAGTACAACAGAGAGGGTGAATGGAGACACACCTGTGGAGGGACTCTGATCTCTGAGCAGTGGGTTCTCACTGCTGCTCACTGTATCAGGTATGAACCAGTAGAGGGGGAGAGATTATTCAATACACCAAAAATCAGATTTGATGTACGAGTGGTTAATGATGTGACTGCAGAGATCCGTTAACAATTGCAATCTTTCAAGTTAACCTTTGAATTGACACACTTGTCCTGTCACCATGTAGCAAAGACAAAGAGTACAGGGTGGCCCTGGGCAAGCACAGCCTGGTAGAGACGGAGGAGGGGGCTGTGTTCATGGGCACCGCCAACATCATCGTGCACGAGAAGTGGAACCTCCTGTTCATTCGGTAACTAGACGAACCGAGCCATGACTTGGTAATAGAACGGGCCTGATGTTGAGCCTGGATCTTCATGTTTTCCAGTAATGACATTGCGCTGATAAAACTGGAGGCCCCCGTCGAGGTGTCTGGAACCATCATGCCTGCTTGTCTCCCATCTGCATCCTTCCTTCTCCCCCACGATGAACCTTGTTACGTCACCGGGTGGGGTCGTATCTCCAGTGAGTGAATGGTGCCTTTCTTTTTATTTTAGATTCACTTTTATTCAATTCAGTTTTCATTGTAATGGTCACTTTATAAATCCCCGGATTATGGTTGTGTCCAGCAGGTCTGATTTAAACCTGCTGGAAAGGCTGAACTTTTTGATTGTGGAAAAATATACTTTTATGCAGGGTTTTTTAAGTTAACACACTAGAGGGCACCAAAGGCACTGCCATAACACACAATGGATAAGACTGATCCAGGCAAAACTGCTGTAATTTGTACTCAGTGTTGTCGAAACAGAGTGGGGTGTTGTTGGACAGTGGTTTCAGTTTTTCACTACAACTTAAACGGGTCTGCCTCAAACAGCTGGAGGCCCCATCGCTGACAACCTGCAGCAGGCTCTGCTGCCCGTGGTGGACTTCGCCACCTGCACCAAGCCTGACTGGTGGGGCTTCATGGTGAGGGACACCATGGTCTGCGCAGGCGGAGACGGAGTTGTGTCCGGTTGCAACGTGAGTCCGAAAACACGGATGACTCGAAAACAGGCACATTTTTTAAAGGTTTACAATTTTGCAAACTGATCGAGACTTTGCCTCTCGTTTGACGGTTCAGGGAGACTCTGGCGGTCCTCTGAACTGTCAGAGTCCTGACGGCTCCTGGGAGGTTCACGGTATTGTCAGCTTTGGCTTGGGGCTCAGCTGCAACTACCCCAAGAAACCTACCGTTTTCACACAAGTCAGCTCCTACGTTGACTGGATCAACTCTGTAAGCTGCTGAAAATCACGCCAAATAACCACCTCATGTGAAATGCCGGAAAACGGTCTAATGTGTTCCCATTGTCTCTTTCACAGAAAATGGTGGCCTATTAGGAAGCAGACATTTTGGATCAAAGCACCCGTATCCATACTTAAACTGAGGAACTAAGAGAAAAAAACCAAATAAATACTTTTAAAAAATACATAAAGACTGGATTATTTTATTTTTTGTGCATTCTTTGCTTTAAATGTAGGATAGAGGTAATTAAACATTAATTGATTTTACATCTGGGGACTAGGTATTGCATTTAAATCCATTTAGAAATGACTCATTTTGACTTCAAAGATGACATTATTCAGGTTTTCTATTTTCCAGCTGAGATACTGATGAGAAATTCCTATCACGAACCACCTGTTGTTTGACTTTTTGCATGTCTTTTCCAAATCCTTCTGTACAGTGGGGGAGAAAAGAGGGTTGAACAAACAGTGTAAACGGGACAGTTTGAAGTCAGAAGTAAGCCCGCACTTATGTGTTCATGTTCAGTCACCATGAGGTTGCTGGTTCTCGCCGCTGTTGTAGCTGTTGGTAAGACTTTCAATTTTTCTCTCACAAACTACTCAGTAAGCATATTTTTTTTAACTCAAAGGGAAAGACTCAGTCACATGTAAATCAGAAAAAAACATTTGATTCTAAAAAGCTTCCATGAATTTAGATTTTCAGTTCTTAAAAATGAACTATTAAATCATATTGTAATTTTAAATCTATGTCAAGTGTCAGAAAAGAATTCTGTCTAATCATGATGGAATGTCCACTGAAGGGCAGAGTAAATTTTAGTAATACTGTGATCCTTGTCCCAGCCTGTGGGTGTGGCCTGCCCACCTTTCCTCCCTCTCTGAACAGGGTGGTGGCAGGAAAGAATGTGAGGCCACACAGCTGGCCCTGGCAGGTAAGGCTGGCTCCAGGGGTGTGTGAAAATGTGTTTCCGTTGATGACCTGAAAGCGGCATACTTCCGTCGCCATTTTGATTTGAGTGTTACATATAAAGTTTTTCCTCCAAGTTGCTTCGGAGGTTCTGACTTATCTGTTAGAGCAGATGTAGGGAAGGTTTATTATGTTGCAGATCACAGCGCGTATCTCTCTGGTTTTCCCAGGTGTCCCTCCAATCAGACAGCACAGGGAGTTGGACGCATGTGTGTGGAGGCACCCTCATCTCCTCTGAGTGGGTCCTCTCTGCAGCACACTGCATCAAGTGAGTTCAGCTCAAGATCAGAGAAAGACTGTCAGGATATGTACATATGACAAAATATTGAATTATGGGAAATGTATAGATAGATGCTTTTTTAATTTTAATTCTAATTTAGAACAGGCAGATGAACAAGTACTAATGAGTAGTATTTAGTCACCCAGAATATAATCTCCACTGTCCACTCTGCTTAGTCACAGTTTTGTTAGTACAAGCAGACCAGTCCCGGTAATGTCAACTGTCCCTCCATAGTGACCGCTACAACTACAAAGTGGAGCTGGGCAAACACAGCCTGAAAGAGACTGAGGAGGGCTCAATAGCTCTCATGCCATCCAAAATCATCACACATGAGGACTACAACATCCTGCTCAGCCGGTAACAGAAGCCCACACAAATCAATATCATCTCACCACATCCACTACTAACGCTTTAAAAGAAGGGGTGGTTCTCTGTTGAGGGTTTTAGATTCCAAAAACAAAACAAGACTCAGATTGGCCCAATGAGTAAAATGTTTAGTGTGTGTTTGCCTAAAACATTGTGGTCGTGTTTTGCCGTGTGCAGGAATGACATCGCCCTGATAAAGCTGTCGTCCCCTGTCACCTTCTCTGACACAATCATGCCCGCCTGCCTCCCTGACCAGGGCGTGGTCCTGTCCCACAGGGCCAGCTGCTACATCACCGGCTGGGGCCGACTCGCCAGTGAGTCAGTTCCACATCACAAAAAAAAAACTCAGAATTCTTTCAGGTGTTGATCAGTTTATGTGCTGCCTGCCAGTCAGAGTAGGTTTACTGAGCCACGTTGGATATTTACCCTATTTTTACCCTTTTAGCTGAGGAAAAAAAGGGGCAAAAACTCCTCCAACTTATAAGCAAAACCAGACAAAAAAAAAAAAAGTTTATCAAAGGAATTTAATTGCCAGTGCTGCTAACGATGTTTTTACTGAACCCTTAGGCTTGAATAATACACAAATGCTCTCAGAAATCATTTAGTAATAGTATTAGAAAGATAAATGAAAGATAAATTAGCCTTTTTTAGTTCAACGCAGCAATTAGAAGATATCAGTAGTCCCAATACACCTGAGTCAACTACAATTGGGAAATATGAAGTAAATGTAAAAATAAATGACATCAGTATTGAGGTTGTAAAAAGAATGACGATGACACTATGTTTTGATATCAGCTGATGAAAAATAGAATGAATCAGTCCTTTGTCTGAGTATTATTAAACCACCAGAGTAGACAAAACTGATAGCAGTGTTTTTTTTTGGTACAAGATTTATATTTGAACAAAATTCTTGAGAATCCATCATGTCATAGTAATCGTATGGAGAGAATAGATCATAATATGCAAATAATACTTTCAGATATACATTAATATCTAATGTCACTCCATCAAAAACTGTACATTCTGGATTCTTAATGCTTGCATTCAATTCCACATCCAAAGGAAACAAATAATGTGTGTCGTCTGGCTAGACCTAGACAACAGTGTGTCTGTGTTTCTGTCAGTAGAAGGGGAACTGCCTCTTATTGTGAATTGTGAAAGGAGAATTGTGAATGGAAACGATTTGCGCTGAGCTTACTGTTTGCTGTCAAAAGTTCCCGTCTGTTTTTCTTTTTGTTTACCTGAACTGATCTCTCCTCCACAGCCGGTGGTCCTCCAGCCGACATCCTCCAGCAAGCTCTCCTGCCAGTGGTCGGCCACGAAATCTGCTCCCAGCCTGAATGGTGGAGTGTCCTGGCAACAGAGAAGATGGTCTGCGCGGGAGGAGATGGCATAACAGCGGGCTGTAATGTATGTTTATACTGTGAAGGCTCATTTAAAAATCTAACCGCTTTAATGGTCACCTAAAGCAGTTTTACAATCAGGGACGTCGTTTAGAAGGACATAAAATGACACGGGTAGATTAAAAGATAGCAGATTCCTTTCGGCGAGGCCCAATTCTGCGTGACAAGCTGATGATTGTAAATCCTACCTCCTGGTGTCAGTACAAACACTGTCAGCTAACAGTGTACTCACCTTCAGGGTGACTCTGGTGGGCCTCTGAATTATCAAAAGCCTGATGGCTCCTGGGAGGTCCACGGGGTCGTGAGCTTTGGCTCCGGTATGGGCTGCAATGTTCTTCAGAAGCCCACCGTCTTTACAAAAGTCAGCTCCTACATCGGCTGGATCCATACAGTGAGGAAGTTTCTTTTTTTGAATACCTTCACAATCGCAAAAGCCTTGACTGTGAAAAACAGGAAGTTAGCCTTTATGATCTTTTCTGTTGTTCCTTCTACAGGTTACGACCAGCAACTAATGAAACTGCTGAAGGGATTTCATCAGCGATAACGTCACTTATGATTTACATTTACTGTCTCAGTCCTTAAATAAAGTGTTGACAAGTGGAATGTCGAGCCATTGTATGTTAATGTTGAGTTATTGATGATGTGCTGGGAACTTGTCCTGAGACAATTTAAGGCAACATTTATTGTGTTGTTCCTTTGTTTACTTTCAAACTCTTCCATTGGTGTCATAAAATCTGGCCTTGTGCTTTGTGTGATATGTTCAAGTAAAGAAAAAATCTAAAAGTTAAACACACTTTAGAATGAACAACTTAGCTAACAAATACTTTACTTTATTTCTCATAAAATAATTGCGATACACGCATTTTCAAATTTATGCAAAAACACTCTAGATTTTCATAGCACAAAGAGGATTTTTCATAAAAAACATATTTCCACAGTACATAAAAAACAGAAACAATTTATATATAAAAAGGAAAGACAAACAATTGCTGCATCTACATAAAAAAGAGGGGCTTTCCTAAATCCAAAAACTATCTCTCATTAATGTAAAACACTTTGACAATACTCTTATAAAATCAGTCTTGCAGTTAGTTAGTCATTTACAAATGAGGTACACTCTGGGTGTTTGCAGCGTAGAACGTGAAAAAACAAAACAAAACAGAGAACCAGTATCTTTTGTGCCAACTTTTGGCTCAGAGGGGTGGTAGATGTAAATGAAATGTGAGAGAACGCCACCACTGCCCTTTTCTCTCCAACAATTTTGCGGGCGACACGACTTTACAATTTGCAACACTGAATGTGCCGTGAAAAGAAGTGGTCTTTTCATCAAAAACGCAGCTTCGGTTGGCAGCTTTACTAAATAAGTGGCAATTCACTGAATGAGCCTGTCTGGTTTAAACAACGCGTGCGTTCCCACAAAGGAAATGTCTGCGGAAAGGTATTTTCCCTGAAAAGTGTAGAAAAAAAAACAACTAAAGCCATGGGTCTGAGTGAAGCTTCCAGCAGACTCACTCTCTCTTCTCTCTCTGTTAATTCTCCACATACTTTTAAAGGGAATTCAGTGCTGGAAGTCAGGCTGTGGCTGAAGGAATGGTGATGAGAGAGCCAGTCAGCAGGGCCTGCTGCAGCTGCAAAGTCAAAGGCTCTCTCTGTTGGTTATCCGGGAGGAAAAAAACACAAAACAGAGAAGCCAACACACAACTGTCCCTACCACTCACCATGGCTACGGGGCAAAGGGTTGCAACTACTCTCACATACTTTCCCTCCAGCCTGCTCTTTGAAATGGGAGAGGCAACGCTGCAACGCTACACTATGAGATGAAACGTTCCCGCCACAGGTCTTATGAAAGATTTGGAAAACTGCTGTTCAGGGTGCAAAGGCACTGAAGGGCACGCGTTACTGCTTTAGTGTCGAGTGTGTTTGGCGTTAGCATGAACAATAATTAAACACCACTCAGAATCGGACTCCCAGAGGTCCCTGGGAATTCATTTATACCGAGGAAGTCATTTATCTTAAATAGTAACCAAGAGCTACCTTAACACTGAGCTCTACTGCTGCACTAGTGGGAGATAAATATAAGTCACACTCATTAAATCTTCCTGTCCTTAAAAAAACACAACTAGAGCCTCGTGTGCAAGCATGAAATCCAGCCACTTTTGTAGTGCAGAGTTTTACAATGAAAACCAACTGGACACTTTTATCTGTTTATGGAAATCTAGACGGATGAGTGTAAAAAGACATGTTGACTGCTTGATAGCAGCTAAGATATAGGGAAGGTGCCTGAGTGAGTTTTGCATTCAAAAAGATAAAGGACCAGCTTGAGAGCAAAATCTGGCCTCTTATCAGATGACCGACAACCAAAACTCAAGCTACATTAGGAATTCTGTTAGGCAGCTGCAACCTGTAGCTCAGTGGCAAAAACAAGCAACTTGATTACTTATTGGCAGATCAGGGCTCCGTTTGAGTTTTTCTGTCCTTTAATCCACTCGACTACACTAGCTACTGAAACTATAAAGAAGTAAAGACAAACCTATGTGTTAGGTTCTATTAAAACCAAATGTCCTCCATCCGACTCATTCTCACCTAGAATCTGATCTGAAAATCGTAGCTGGATTATAGTTACAGAGTGTCCTTTTGTCATTCTGGGGACAAAACCCTATAACCGGTGCAGCAGGTGCGGTTAACAGTTCAGGAGTGTTTTTTTTCCCATGTAGCTTGATACCACGTGACGAACAATGCTCAGACACTCGCTGTGAAACCTAGCTTTGGCAAAGCAGAGGCAGAACCAACCCCCCCGCCTTGTCAAAACTCCCCCTGGATGGCAACAACCTCACAAAATGAGTGCTGGTGTTGAAAGGTACACACAAATACTTCATTAATGATTTGCAATCTCATCCACCTCTAAATCACCTGTGCAATCAGTGGATCAGGGATCCCATGAAGTCCGTAATACAAAAAAAGAAGATTTCTTCTGCTCTTCTCACGGTTGGCGACTTTGAACAGATAATATGCTCCATAATAAAGTGCAAAAGGACATTTTCTGAGAGGCCACACTCAGGTCTTGGCCCAAGAGGAATCCAGATCCACAAAGGTCAATCATGGGGAATTCCAGGAATTTCACTCCATTGTTTTAAACATGATCAGCTAGAATTTAAAGCGGAGGCACTTTATCCTCGTACTGCGGCGGCGGTGTGAGAGGCTCAATACTGAATCCTGCTGCCGGCTGAGAGTGGCTGCTGTTTTTCATGGGAAGCTTCTCTGACTTTATCCTGCGGATCTTGATAGGGAGGAAGTGGCGGCTATTTTTCCCGGGTCTATGCGCTGATGCTGCAAGAGCAGCCGGATTGCTGGGAGCTTGGGCGGGCGGCGATACCGTCGTCGTGACCTCCGACCCCTCGTTCTCATACTGTATGCCGTCCACTTGGACCAGGTCATCGTAGGACGGCAGCTGCGAGGTGCTTGGACGCAGGTTGCTCTGACGGACGGGGTACTGGCCACTGCCCACTGCCTCTTCATAGGTGGGTACAGCATAGCGCTGGGCTTGCTCTTCGCTGTGGACATTTACAAAATGCGCAGAGATAAATGTGACATGTGAGCGTGTGTTAGCGTGCAGCATCAACTTCAAGTTAGTACAGAATGCATGTCTTCGCTTTTCTCCCACAAACCGCTTCCAACAGTTAATGTCAAAAGAATTTAAAAATCCATATTATACTATAATCCATACTTTTTAGTGATTCAAGTGAATGTAAATTTACAGTGTGAATAAGATAGCCATTGTGAAAAAAAAAACAAGTCTCTGATGTCTGCACAACATTCTCAAATGTAAATGTGCTAACAACAGTTTCCCAGCTACAGGTAGGGTCATAATGAGTAAAATAACACTATCTTTGTCCTTCAGTGATTAAATCTATATAGTTTACCTCTGATTTTTACAGGTTTCTGTAAATAATTTTCTTCCAGTAAGAAAAAAAAAATAGTTTTACCATGTTAAATAACAACAGAGAATCTTAGTCACATGACTTAAGGAAAACAAGCTTTAAGAGTTCACACTGTGTTCAACTCAACACCTAATATGACATCTGAAGCTGACAAAAAAAACAAAGTGAGAGTCAAATGACGAATGAACTCACGTTTCTCGCTCCTCTTGCTCCCTCGCCGTCTCTTCTCTTCGACTCTGGACCTCCTGGAGCCTCATCTGCTCCCGCTGTTTGTTCCTCATCCCCAGACACACGGACAGCATGAGCATCGCGACCCCGGAGCCCGCCAACACGAAGGCCACGGAGGACGCTTTATTCCTCCGGCCGTAGCTGGGATCGCCTGCGTCCGGACTGACGCTGCTGCTATTCCCGGGGGGATCGGCGGGCACCACGCTCCACACGATCATCACCACGCCGAGCGCGATAAGGCCGACTCCCAGAGCACACAGCGCGTACTGGGAGCCGGCGTTTCCAGCGCTGTCATTGTTCCTGCTGCTGCTGCTGGTGCTGTTGTTGTTGTTGTTGTTGTTGCTGCCGCTGCCATTAGTGCCTCCGTTCCCAAGTGGGCACTGTGGTCCATCCACACTGGAACGCATTTTGTTTGTCCAAAAAAAATCTTCACTCGAGAATCCCCAGTCAGTTCAAACGCTGCAAGAGGAAATATTGGGAGGGTCAAAGATCAAGAAGAGCTAAAACCAAAATGAGACAAAATGGAAAACACGACCAGGAAAATGTCCCCCAAAAAACTTCCAACACAGCCGTTTCTGACTGTTCCGGCTGAGAGTGAAGAGACAAATCTGCCCTCTGCCTCCTTTAAGAAACACCTGACGCCGGACTGCTTCCAGCCCTTTTGTGTCCCTGAACATTCCACTGGCACTCAGAGGGCTGGACAATACGAAGCCAGTTTTTCAGAGAATCGAACAACAGATGAAATTCACTGAATCCACCTCGGGAAGGTGAACTGCGTGGTAAAAAATTGACAGCAGCCTTGCCTTTAAAAGGAACTTCTGAATAGCAGTAGTCACGGATGTCAACACATTATAGGGCAGATAAGGGCTGTTACCGTCACTGCCAAGCAAGACTTCAAGATATATTACATAATCCTGTAGTTTACAGGGTTGCTCTACCGCCGCTAGCTTCGTGTTTCATCCAATACACGCACCATTTACTGCTTAAGAGTAAATTCTTGATGGAATATTACCTGGAAAGTAATTGGTGTACAGTGTAAAAGGATTCTGTGAAATGCAGTGAACGTGACCAATGGTCTTACTAGGTTAAATACTTCCAACATATCAATGATCACAAGGCCAGCCTATTTTCTCAAAACTATTAATGAATTCGCACAAAAATAAATAAACCAAAAACAAACCAGTCCCATACACAATGAACATGGAGAATGTGAGCCTGGAACACTAGGATGGACACACACAGTACACACACACAGTGTGTGTGTCAGGTCTTCAAACAGGCCCTGACCTGCTGGAGGAGGGGCCCGTTCGGCTGACACCGAAGAGGGGGGTCGGTGTCAGCCCTCTGTGGGACCCCCCCTCCCTCCCCAACTTAAGAATGTGTAGCATAACAGTGACTTTGTGAACCACGAACAGATGAAGGTTAAGAATCCGCTCCTCACAGCAACTGGTCTGGACTTCTAACGTGACTGCTGTTTCGCCCAAAAGTGCTAATTAACTTTTGGGGGGGGGGGTCAAAGACTGTGGAGGTCTCGGTCCATTGCGCCACACGGTACAGTTAGACATTGACAGGCTCGTGCTTAAGAGAGAGAGAGGAGAAAAAATGAAACTTTATTCGGCACAAAATGTTTTGAGTGCCGTGAAAATGCAGTCTAAAACAGCTTTAAAAGTCCCAGACAAAAGCTTCCAGAGTCAGGCAGACGTTAGTCAACGAGCCTCACGCGCTGCTTCTCCGTGTTTTACGAGAAAACGAGTCAATTATGACGGCAAGTCAAATATTACCGCCGTTTCGCGAGCATTAGCGAACCCAGTCCGCTCTGAAGAAATTGGGTGTGTGGGTTCCTTTTTAACGCAGCAGGAACAGACTGAGGACGAACTTCTTTGGGCTGAGCCACGAAAATAAATAAATAAATGCGTAACGAAAGACGCTCCCGGGTGTTTACGTTTAGTCAGACCCCAGCCGAACGACCTGGTACCTCAACATTAGCTCACCTTCGCATCGCTCGCCCTGGTCCCTTCCTGCTGATTTTTTCTCTGTGCCGGAGTCAAGAGTCCGAGTCTGACGACAGTAACGGGACTTTGAAGAGGTTACACGCGGCTTGAAGATGGGTTGGGGGATCAGGAACTTTCCTCTATGAAGGATGGGCCCGAGCGAAGAGAGCAGGAAGGAGGAGGCTCTGTCCGTACTTCACTTCCAGTTCCATTAACCCCTTCACGGCCGGCCCGCTGACAGATGAGCAGCAGAGGTCTGGGGGGAGGGGGGGGAGGGGGGGTATTCCAGCTATTTCACCCCCCAATTATCGGCTGGGGCTCAAATTGCATACGGAAAGGCTGACGGGAGATCTTCTGCAGTGTGAGTCCTCGACGAGGAAAAAAAAAAGCGAGTAGCGTCTTTATTTTTGGTGTAATGTCCCTTTAGGCTGCTGCAAATTGTGTGTGGTGGGGGGGAAACACGCTTAACAATACAGGTTAAAACACTTGCTGCCGTAAATACTGATGGTAAACAACAATCAACATGCCTAAAAATAGCGACTTAGCCGGAAAGGGCTCACCCAGTGGCGTTATTTAATTAAGAACCTGCAAGCAACCGGTAGCCTCGTCCGATCAATTCATGTCATTTCACTGTGACTCAGAGCAGGAACTGAAGAACTGAGAGAGGATACACTCAATGAATAAGAAATGAAACCAGGTCGTTTAGTCACACGGTCCTGTATGCAAACTCAACAGCACATTTTAAAGTTTAGAAGGAGGTTTTCTTGTCGCTAAAGACATTTAGTCTTATCGTGGTAGGTGGAGTTTACACTTTATTGAGCTATGGCTCCTTCTTTATCGAGCTGTTATGATGGGCCAGGTCTTGACAGAGTAACATTTAGCCAGGCTTAGCTGACCCAGTCCCCCTAAGATTGGAAAATATTTGAATGATTAAAAAAGAAAATCTACAGTGATAAATATTCATAAACCTCAGTGCTGGTAGAGGCTGATGTGTTGGTGGTTTTCCTGTGTGTCTGAGTCATTTTGCAGTGTGTAATTTCAAAACTGATACATGAAGTAGTCATACCGGGATGATGAAATTTCCTCTTTTTTGTGACATTGCAGTGATGTGAGCAGAATGAAATCTGAAAGAGGTACCTTTTTTTCCTCCTCTGTACCCTGATTAGTAAAAAAACTAAACTCAGGTACTCTTAACTCTAGAATGACTAAGCACCAACTGCCAACTAAAGGAAGGCCTGTTGATTTTTGGCCATAAAAGTTAAAAATTGTTCTGACCCCTTGTTTTCCCTGATATTCGATGAGCATTACACTGTCAACAATAACTTTCCTTCTTCTTGTAAATCCTCTCTGCAGTTAGACAGGTCAATTCAAATCAGCCACAGATCAATAATGAGATGTTCAGGATGATCTAAGTGACAATAATAAGCAGCAGATTGGACATTTTGTGAATTGGTGACTCACACCATTCTGACACTTTTTGTCTTTCCATAAACACTGTTTTATGATCTTATGTCATCCAGGATTTTCACTTCCTTGTTGTAAATGTACCACTTACTCACAGGCGCGCCTTGCAAGCGTTGTTCCAGAGGACAGGTCTTAAGTCATCACAGTTACAGCGGGCTTGTTCAGAATCTAGGCCTTTTACCGTCTGGCCTTACTTTACCTCCAAGCCATAGCATTGTCCACTCTCTCAGCCGGCCAAAATGTGGACGTTATTGCTTTACAATAATGACAAAAACAGTTCCAAAGTGGCCACCCACTGCATTGTTCATTTTAAGAGAGGTAGCCTTGCTGCCGAGGGCTCTGGGGAAGCTGTCTTCCTCTTTAGCCTTTGCCTGAATGCCCTGTTATACCACACGCACACACAGACGAACACACACAGAGGAGAGGACGGTAGATAGAAAGCACTGTGGACAAGCGCTGATTACATCTGCTACTTTGGATTGATTCCACATCACAGCCACCCTTTAATCAAATTTGTTGGCAGTCGCAAAGGAAAAAACCTGATTTGAAAATACAAGCTTGACTTACACGCCTGAAGCAGTTTGTAAACTAACATCCTAATTGTCATGTAAGACTTGACCTTTGATTTACGGCTGCTGTGCTATTGCAGATTTATTATTATTCCCCCCAAAATACTTTCATACATGTAACTGAGTTGATTTCATAAGAAGAGCCTCAGACTAACTTGCAAGGACCCAAACACTTCAGAGTCAAACATGACTCCCCAGCCCAGAGGTGGTTTACAGTGAGTGTCTGAAAGCAGAACTGTTTCAGGCTCGGCCTCGCCGGTAGCCAAGTCACTGTGAGTAAGACAGAGAGGTTGCGCCACACTGAATTGTGTGACGCTCCATGCAATGACGTGTCCAATAAAGGGAAAACGTGATAAGTGAACTGTGTCACCAAAACACTGTCCATAAATCAGTCAAGAGCACAGATTACATAGTAACACTCACAGAGGAGATTAGAATAGCCAGTGATTGGAATCCCTGTGGAGGCGGCGAACCATGAGCATTTCCTCATGACAACAAGTTGAAGTAGCATTGTAGCCATTACACAGGTGTCTTCTCTTCACACAGATCTTAACTTATTTTTAGAATTCCTCAGTGTGGCTATCTAGCTGTGTTGTTGCTGAGTGTTTAATGTGTTTTCTTTATTTCTTTGCTACAGATGAAACAACTTGCCAACTTGGACTTTTTGATCTCGTAACACTTGTGTATGAGTTTGAATGTTATCAAGTGATAATTCTCAGTGTTGGAATAGCAAGAAAACTCTTTCACATCATGTCTTTATCATGCTTTATGTCAAGCGGCAGATCTTTGAGCAGTCTTGGGATTCTAATCTTGATTTTCCCACATATTTTACAAAACTTTTCACTGTTTCAGGTCATTATGGCCGTTCCATTACTGAATTTAGAAATGTATTTATATAGGTTTTTTCTGTAGTTTGATAATGATTGATATTCTTAGTCTTAGTTTTATTGATTTCCGGCATTGTTTTATTCTTTCATGTCAACAAATGACATCTGATTTCCATATAGCAGCCACTTTTTGTTGGTTTTGCTAAACTTATCATGTTTATCGTGCTGTATAAATATTCAAATGATTTACATTGTGCATGATGTAGAAGAGAAAGGACTATCAGACATGAACTAGAGGGATCAAGTCTCTTTTTTGTTTTCAGCCACATTGACAAAGCATGACAAACAGAGTTCAATGAAACAACAGCATTTTTCATTTTACACAGATAAGAAACTTCAACTTCATTTTTTCATCGAATACCCTGTACAATACAAAGAGTTTTTTTAAGTCTCTTTTCCCACAGAACAAGAACAGCGTGTCTTTCCGCAGTCAACAAACAAAATAGCGAGTCACATCCTTGTTCACACAAAGAATACAAAAATAATCATTTAGCGGAGTCCTTCTCTTCATTCTGGCATTGGAGAGGGAAAGTAACCGTCAAAAAAAGCCCCAAACATCTGTCCAACATACTCAAACCAGGAAACAAGAAGTTATTCTGTCCCTTTTTACAAAGTGCAACATGTCCCGTGAAGGCTCAGAAAAACGACCAGCTGCATTCAGGTCCACACCGACGACTCAGCGCTGTGATGACATCACACGTTGGTGACCTCGATGCTGGTGTAACCGCGGATCGGGCTTCCTTCGGCTCGGGGAGGAGTCTGGTCTTGAATTTCCCGGGGCAGGGAGCCACAGCTTCGGTGGCAGCTCAGGTCCCTCCCGCTGCGATTTTTGGGGCTGAACCCGGTTGGAGGCTATAAAGAAACGACTGTATTTCACTGCAAATACTGACAGTCAAAGAAACGTGTATCAAGATTCTTATCCCTACATTAAATTTGACTATATCTAACAGTCGATTTTCTGAAATATGATTTGTTTTCAAACCACAACGATCAATCCTTATTGAGGAAAATAACTTAGTTTTTCAAAAATGAATTAGGTTCACACCTTGACAGCCCTCCTTCTCAGCGAGCCCTCCTCATCGGGGTGTCGGCTGCTGGAGCTGGGCGGTCTGCCCAGAGAGTTTTGGCGAAGCAGAGTTGGTGGAGTTCCCAGGCCCAAATGCTCATAGTCCTGTTTGGCATCCGCTCTGCAGCAAAAAGACAACCGCGTGCAACAAGAGGTCTACATCCGACGATTATTAGATTAAAACAAACATTCCCAGCTTATGCTAGGAGCTCGCTCAGTCAGACACAGCTCTACATGCGAGAGGGAAAACAGGTGGGCTTTGGAGCGACGTCGTACCTGGCTGGGCCGATCAGTGTTTTCATCTCTTCAACGAGGTGTCTGCGCACCATGTGCTTGTTGTTGGGAATCCCCAGTGTTGTTGCCATCGTGTCGGTGTTGAAAGTTGGATCGAGCACCATAACTGCTCCGTGGACTCCACTGTTTAGGAGACTGTCTGCAAATTCCTGAGAAAAGATAGACTTCTTTTTTTAACGCAAAACATTAAACTGTCTAATAAAGATGCAGCCATTAAAAGCTCAGGGGAGACAACACTCATATCAACTCATATTCTGTGATGCCGGGCCTATTCTGATTTCCCTATTCTCTTTCTCTCTCTAATCCTTTTTCACATGACATGAATCCATGAATTTTGGCTCAGTGTTTAAATAGCATCATTGCTCTGACCTACCTTAAGGTCGATATCTCTGATCCATTTCATGACCCTATGAGAGGTCCATATCAGCGGGTCCAAATTCTGGTGTTCGCACTGTACCCGTCGAGCCTGCAGCGCCTGAAATCATTTTTACAGTTACTTCACCCGCCACCGACGGCCTGCGTTTGTCCACAACGCTGGTGAATAGTTCACGGGGCTTCTCTCACTCACCTCCTTGTCAAAATTGAGTAACTGTAGTAGTTCAATGCCCAAGATGAGGCTAACTTGATGGAACTTCTTGGTAACGTTCAGGTGGCGCTCCAGATCTCGACGCGTCAGGGAGCTCAGCATGCGTCCATCCACCAGATGAGTCTGGAAGGCCTGAGAGTACTGAGGCAAGCCCACGTCACTTAACCAGGCCTTGGCCACCCAGTGATGGTCCATATCTGCAGCCTTCGACAGCCTACAATTGTATAAAGGGTGTAGTAAGTAGGTAAGAAAAAAAACGTATTGTTTTTGCTTGTAGGGCCTCTGTTATCACTGCTATGCTAACAATATTTGAACTCAGATCCTCAACCCCTCATTCCCATCAGTTGACCCCGCTTTCTTAATATGAATCTCAGCATATCCTTCTTAATTATGCACATTGATTGGTCCAAACAACACAGGTTTTTATTTTTAATGCAGTGCCTCCTAAAGAGATCATGTGTGTCCATTATCGATGTTTGACAGTGTACCTTGTGCTTTATGTATTGTAGTTTATGAAATACGAAAAGCCTTTCCAATTTTGCGTTAAGGAAAATTCTGAAATCATTCAAAGATTTGTAGTCTCAGTTTTTGTAGACATTTAGCTTCTACCCAATTATTCTTCTGAAATTACTGGGTGAGTAATATCATTTTTTGGCATTAAATTTATCCCACTTTTAAGGTATTCCATTTCTTCAAAATGAAGTGGATCAGAATAAATCACAGCAAATTGCTCTGAGGTGTAAATGCTGAATAAAAATGAGGGCAGAAACGCTGTCCTTAATTTCCAGATTTCATCATTTTAATGCTTTGGAACTGTCATGATTTTGGTGAACTGTTCCTTGAATATAGTCATTATTATCATTATATTGTCAAATCTATTATAAGGGTTTCGGAAAAGAGTGACCAGATCAGATGATATATATCAATTAGATGGAACTTTTCCCATTATCAGGGTGAAACATTTAATAATTATGAAAGAAGACATTTATTCGAAAACTGGCTTTAAAAATGCATTTTCCCTTGAATGCAAAAAGCACAGCCTGAGGTATTAGTTTTCTGTAAATGGTGGAGAAGTTATTACTCATATCTCCAACAGATGGCTCCCTCACAACATTAAACCGTTTTACTCAATGCCAAGAGAATCCTCTCGGTGTCATCCTCACCCTTTGCCATTCTCAGCATCTCTGTAATCTTCAATGGCTAAGCGGAGCTTCCTTCGATGCATTAAACTGCTGACACCTAAACCCAACTCCAGGTCCTCATCTGTTAATCCCAGTAAAACCTGCAAAATGTCAGAACGGACTGAAATCAACCCAAATTCACTTCACGGTGGAATAGTGTAAGCAATCCTTAGGTATTTTTCTGCTTTTTCCTTCGTCAAATCAACAGCACTACATTACCTTGCCACTCTTGACATTCTCTGAGCATGTGCGGATGTACATGGGCATCGCCATGACAACCTCAAGCCAGGCCTGCACAGTGCCCGCCCTCCACTGAGACATGGGCGTCATCCTGGCCAGCTCCACCTGCTGGAGGCGGTCCAGCTGGTCTTCTGACCCGTCTGACAGGCCGAGGCTGAGGCGGGTGGGGCTGGACAGGCTTTCTGAGTCTGGGAGGGTGAGTGGATGGGGCAGATTTATGGGCGATGCAGATGAGGGTGTGAGTGAAGGCAGGGTGGCAGTGGGTATAGTGAGCAATGATAAAAACAAACATAAGTGCACCGTAGCAAAAAATCAGGTTAACTTTAAAAAAAACTGCCCAGTGGAGGAAACAAGCTTTTGGACGTGTGACAACAAGCATGTCCTTACTAATAATGATGTTGAAAACCAGGGAGTAACTATTGTAAAAGCCCACTTTAAAAGTTCATTAGAGTGGCAGGTGTTTGAGCCCTTGAATTAAAATGTTCCATTAGTCTAAATTAGCCTTCGGCAATTGTTGCAATCAGGAAAAATATTATATTTTGATGGAATATTATCATATCTGCCTCACATTTTTATTTTATCCTATGAATATTACCCTGAGAGTCCTGTGCCCATATGATTATTCCCCTTAATTCTTGTAAGTTTACCTGTTATAAGAAGTTATAAGTACTTTTTTGCTAAGTAAATAATTTTTGTGAGGTAATTATGCCAAGAACAGGGTGTACTTAAGCACTTCCCTATTCCTACCAGCAGGTGGAAACCTTTGCAAAGCATCAGACTCAAGAGTTGGTTTATCATTATGTGTTGTTCACTGGTAGCTGATTGAAGTACACTTAGCCATATTTGTAATATAACACTTAATAATTAGATTTTTGTGACTCTTTTGAAAATATATGACCTATTATCACTCTCAAATAAAGCCTTACTCAGCTCATTCTCGTGCTTATAACTGAGCATGGGCCATCAAGGCTAAAGCTGTCAGGAGGCAGGGAATCTAATGAGCCTTGGATAAAAGCATCCATCTCAAAACTCAGTGGTAATGGACAGTGTGCAATCTTTGTCCTTGTTGGTCTCTTCACCCTGGAAATATACGTTATTTCAGTGGAAAAATAAAGATGTCGTAATGAGTGATGTTCTCTCTGATTCATTCCCTTTGAAATTTAGCTTGGAGCATCTAACAAAGAAACAGAACAAAACACAACAAAAGCAGAATCAACAGGTTCTTTGTTTCCTCCATGCCTCTTTCTCATTTCCACAGAGCAAATGGAATCCAGTATTTTGGCAGGCTTCACTGTGCTGGTGTGTTTATTCAAAAAGAGATTCTCAACTGGACGGTTGTTGGACCCACATAAACAGATTATTAAAAACCTGCCTTTAGTGATTCATCTTAGTCTGGATGCTTTTATGTGTCCTCATAAGAGCAATACATAAACTCACAATAGAAACACCTCCTGAGAGCAATTCATGTAACACTGAATAAACCAACTCTTCCACCATAAATATGCTCTTATTTATCTATATATTTTTTCAAATATGACCAGATTTCGACACCAGTACCAGTAATCTCTTACTTTTTCCTGACATTAACTGCTCTATTGAGGTCCTGCTCTCTCTGCTCCAAAGGCCTTACATTTCATTGTAAAAATCAGTAGTTTAAACCTAGCTATGATATTACAGAACAGGCCCAAACCATGATACTGCCATCGTGTTTCAATGTTGCAATAACGGTTTGTCCTCTCATTCCCTCTTCAAAATTCTATTTTGGTGTAATTTGTCTAGAACATCTATTCATAGAAGGCCTTCAAAACTTTTACAGTGTAATGAGAGCAAGTCCTTCAGAATTGTATTTATCACATCATGTTTACTAGGCTTTGATAGATCCTAATTCTTTGGCAACAACTCGCACCGAAACCTCATTTCATTGTTTTTAAGGATGGTTCCCTATGATGATAAATATAATTTAGCTGTCTTGCCTGATTAAGATATGCATAAACATTAAGTCTGTTTACAGTTGAGTGCCAGATTAAAAGTATTATGGCTGTAATATTTCTTTTTTACACAGAAATATTTCTTTATCCTCAGTGGTACCATTTTAGTTGAGATATTTGCAAAACGATAAATGAAGACGTTTATTCTATGCCTACTGCTATAGCTGAGCAACGTTATAAGAAGTTTTAGAAGTTGAGAAAATTCTGTTTGAGAACAGAAGGGTTAGAAGCTTACAGCTGCTCCAGAAAGGGATCAATTCGATGGTTTTCATTAAAATTCAATTCAACTTGAAGAAGTGTGTAATTTTGAGGTCAGTTTGTGTTGTTTTAGAGTTGGAACCCATCTGCAAACACAGTTTGCATCCCAGTACAACTCTTTGTGGGGGCAGCCAGAACGTGCGTATCCTGGACCTGCAGAGTGTGACTGGTTGCTTCTTGGGTCACTCCATTATGTTGAAAGTCTGATGGAAGTTCGACAAGACAGGTCAGTGTTACAGGTTAGTGGTCACATCACTTCAGGCTGTTATTAACACCGTGTTCTTCATCTCAGTCATCTGAAATGGCCTCATTTTCCCTTCTAATAAATCAGTCCAATGTAGTCCAATGTAAATAGCACACGTTTTATAGATGCTTTCTGCCATGAATTCGGAATTCAGATTGGGGAAGAGCAAAAACGAGGCCATTTGGACACCGCGATCCACAGATGGACTTGCAGGTTGGAAGGAAGCTATGTGCAAGTTAAAAATCAAGATTAGAGCCATTCAACCACAAATGAACAATTACACAACACAAACATTAACGAAGGGAAAGAGAGGACAGCCACATCAAAATACTTATCATTTATTTTATTTTAAAATAATCTTATTTTCTCATTTAGTTCATTTGAATGTTACTTGTTGCCATGCCTTGAAAAGTTGCTACTATCCACTTCTACATGTCAGGGCTTCAGAAGAGAAGTCCTCCACTGAGGCCTACACCTTTGACTTTAAATAAAACTCTTTAATAACAATAATAATAATAATAATATCCATTTGATTTCTGCCATGTTATCTCATTTACAAAAAGTAAAATGTTTTGAGAAAACTGGAAAAAAAAGAGTGGCTCAAAATGTGAAATCATACACTGTTTTTTAGATGCTGTTTCCCCATCAGCACATAAAAGTTGGGTAGACGAAAAAATAAAATATAATTCTGTTTTTTTTATACATGTTATTGAATTGTTTAACTAAATAAACAGGATAAGCTGTAATATACACAGTGACTTGTTTTTTAATTTCCTCTGTGATTTAGCTTAGGATCTAATATCTGTGGGCCCGAATGTAGGCTGAGCTAAGAGTAAAGAGATAATCTCCTCACTGCATGTGCGGATCCTCCTGACAAATGCTGTTGTTAAAAACAGCTCCGATGTAATCTGCCACTCTTTGGGGTTTAAGGTGAGGCCGATGAATATCCAGTGTTAGTTTTATATCAGGGAGAGAAGAGATTTCCTGGAGGGGCATTGCAGACTCCAACTCAATCCAGTGAAAGAACGAAAAGAATCCAGTGTCTGTAGACATTCTTTGCCTGAAGAAATTCTATTAACCTTCAGCTCAAAGTTAATTGCTTTTTTTTTCCAGCAGTGACTTGAACTCAGCTTAAGAATTTCTGGTGAGTTCAAAGGGTCGTTTGAGAAGGTATGCATTTGCTTGATTAGCGTTCTTAAATCCTGATTTTTAACCTTCAGAGGTGATGCTCACTAATGTTATAGTATTTTGTTTAATGTCCGCTTCTCCTAATTGACTGATTATTATTTAAAATGGCCTTAATTCCAGGGGATGGGAAAAGTCTTGAATTTCAGTTTAATATCAAACTTTCAGACTTCTCCCAGTACAGTCCCAACCCCAGTATCTTTGCAGAGTATTAATATTATGATGGCCACAAGCAGCTACAAGATCCTGCTGAAAGGAAAGGCTCATGAATAAGTGGAATAATTATTCAAAGATTCAAAGAGCACAGCTGGGTTTTCTCAGTGACTTTGCCGACCTTTAATGTTTCTAAATGTACTTTTGCATGAGTATTTTTGCCTTGCAGGAGCATATTAAAGCTCGATTGTGTTCAGTCTGGTATCTTAAGCGCCCAAACTTTGATAACAAAACATATGAATTAATAAAAAAAAAGAGAAATCTGAATAAAAAGGAAATCTGTAACTGACCTCTCTTTGTTTAAATCACCTTTTTGACAACAAGACATTTCTCTTTAGCAGGGTATTGTTCAGCATGCAGCTGTGGACTGGGACTACATGCATGCATGTCACACATTACATATGCACCTTCTATCCTGAACAGATAGAAAACACATTTCTCGCATTTCCTGTTTGGCTTCATGATGCCGTGGAATGATCTGCTTTGTGTGGAAAGTTGATTCCACGCTCAGCAGCCTCATAGAAAGTCTAATGTTAAACACCAATGAGCTCCTCTGCACAGGTTTTGAGACGCATTAACGAATGTGTTTAACAGACAGCTCGATCGGGTGATGGATTTGAGGAGTCTGCATGTGGCCGACAGGAAACTGTTCTCATCAAGGCAGTGTGGAAGGGGAGGGGTTGGACCAAGCAGGACAATAAACAGAGGAATTTAAGTTGTGAGGGGAGGGGGAGCACATGTCAAAAATAAGAAAAGGCATTCAGGACATGGAGACATTTACACGCACAGAGTGCACAACAACTGTTGTTATTTACAACAAGTACAGCAGTCCTTCAAGTTTCCAGTTGAGTGAAAACGAAAAGTCCAAAATCTATGGAACATTTAGAAGCTCCAATGACACGGCTGTTTTTGGAGGGCGGATACAGAATACGTCCACGCTGTTGCCGTGTTACACTCTCCATGCTATTTACAGAGCGTTATATACATACAGGTGCAATTTGCTCGTTAAGGTTTACACTTCGGCAAAGCGAGACGCGGCTCCGGCTCCCGACATGGCTTGCGACCACAGGCAACACACACGCATCCGCACGCCGTCACACACACACACGACTAGGCTGCACGTGCAGGTGAGACCACACAGGCACGCGTATTAATACGTCTGCACACGCCGACATCCACCCGCTCACGCACACATTTGACACAGGGTTGTCCTCTGATAACTGCCAAAGGCTCTTCAGGGTAGTTCACTGGGACACGTGCGCTCTACCAGTCTGCATCCTCCTCTATGTAATAATCTGGTGTTGAAGTACCATCAAACAAACCGGGGTCCAGAGACTTGCGTTGCTTTCCCCGGGTAAAGACGCGGGACAGAGAGCCCAGCCCAATCTTCTCTTTCTTCTTCTTACGCTTCGCCTCCTCCAGATCTTCTAGGGACTGAGGGGGGAGAGCGAAGGGGGGGGGGGGGGGGGGGAATGGGGAAATCAAAGTAAAGAGGAGGATGAAGTAATGAGCAAAAAAGGACAGAGATACAAGAGTAGAGAAGTCAGTGAAAGGGGGCACAGAGAGAGCAACACAGACCAGGAGAGAACGCAACACGAGGAGGAGGTGACAACCGACATGCTGCCGGGCATGCACTTGTTGAGCGGCCGACACAGATATTCACGGGGGATTTTTTTTTTCTAGTGACGACTGTGGAGGAGGGAACACGGCAGACGGCGTGACGCAAACGTGAACTCAGCCAGAGAGATGGTGGAAAGAAAAAAGGGCAGCCGCCAGGCAAGCAGCACAGTCAGCTGTTTACCACATCAGAGGTGACTGCTTGGGGAGGGGGGGGGGGCAGCTCTTACATTGCAGAGGGAGTGAGTCCGGTGGCGTGGTGAGTTGATGTCGCTCGGAGTGGATGACCGATCTCCCTCCAACGCAGAGGCTTCGGAGAGGATGGAGGGCTGACGCGAGTGGCACGGGCTCACCCGCACCGCCGCCACTAGACAGGACGAGAGGGGAGAGAGAGAGAGAAGGCTTGGGTCTGTCTCGGGGTGTTTTTGGGGGCACCCAAAGGAGCCAACAGGGGGTGGGGAGGGGTCTGATGTGTCCCAGCATTGGCATAAAATTCTTAAATGAAGATTCTTTTTTTCTTTTTTTCCCCCCAAATGCAGTGACCGAAAAACTATGTGCAATCAGCTGCAGTTGCTAAGCAACAGTAAAAAACAGCTTCCCAGAGGTTGAGGGTGCGCGCACGTATGGAGGGAGACTGGTACATAAAGTACGACCAATTGCATAGCAATTTGGACTTCGTGACTGTTCACACGTTTTCCGCGTTTCCTCGTCCTCGTCTGCTCCTTTCTTCCGATGTTCCCAATTACTTGACAGCTGATGTGAACCCACAGCTGTCTTTTAAAACATCATCAGGTAGTTTTTTATTCTGTTGGCTGCATTTGTCCGTCTTTCCTTAGGGTTGAAGGAGGTGCCAGTTTGTGCATCAGTAACATGCACTTTTATCTTTTTTTGTTCAGGTGAACGTTGAAGGATGCTCCCTGTGGAGATATTCAGAAAACAACTGCCTCATCACAAAGATTGTGTTTGACTAAAAAAAATAAAAATAAAAAAGAATTTAAAAATATATATATATAAGTTATTTTTTATTTTATTTTATTTAATTTTTTTTTGTATATATATATATATATATATATATTGCAAAAAATTGCAAAAATAGCACCGCTCTGTTTTCTCTCAGCAAAGAATTAAAATTAATTGCAATTGAGCTTCTCATCAGAGAGGAACAACTAAACTTCCAAAGTGGTTTCGGAATAAATATTCAATATCATATTTCCTGCACTCGCTGGACAGCAAGAGGTTTTCCGGCTGTGTGGAGTCCTGGTGTTCTCTCTGCTCATGCGTGGGTTCTCTCCAGGTGCTCCTCCCACAGTCCAAAAACATGCCTCACTAAAAAGGCCAAAGGAATGAATGCGAGAGTGTGTGGTTGGTCCTCTCCATGTGGTCCTGTGATGGACGGGCGACCTGCCTAGGTTGTCTAGGCTGTACCCCGCCTCTCGCCCAGTGACAGCTGGGATAGGCTCCAGCAGGAAATGGAGTCAGGCAAGTCGTCAGTTAAAAAAAAAAAAAGCAGTGGGCAAAGAAGCTGTAAGTGCCACAAAGACGAGTGAAAAATAAACTTAATAATACACATCTTCTTTTATGAAAGTGGCAAAGCTATCCATTCACTCTAACTGATAAATAGACAGTATTTAACATGCATCGGATTCTTGGCTGCCACCACTGTCAAAGACGGCGGAAGCAAATGAAATGACACAACTGGAACATCATCATAACTGAGCAGATGGCGAGATTGGGTGTGTAAAAAGCAGCTTCACAAGAGCATGCAGAGGGTGAACAAGGGTAAAAACCACCCCATGTGGCTCAGTTTACATACGGGACGGGGATGGGACTCGTGCTCTCATTGGCCTACCTTGTCTGTCAGTGGGATGCCCGGTGTGGACATAAAGAGTCTGCTGACTCTGTCTGATGGCAGCAGTTAGGGGAAGGTCAGCCTGCATCACCCACTCCTGGTTGTTGCCGTTGACGACCGCCTCTGTGGGCATGGCCAGAGAGTGGCGCTTGGGCACGTCCTTTGTCAGGGTGGCTAGTGACTGTTTGGCCTTAAAATGGTAAACAGATTCATGTTATCAGTCAAAGAAAAAACACCAGCTCTCAGCAAACTGCTTGTGACAAAATCTTAATTTGACCTCATTTAGTTTTGAGTGAGCTGGCACCATTTTTTTTTTTAATGCACCCAAATATATGTGTCTGCCTCTCGGCTTCTCGCGCGGCTCTTGTCTCATGAAAAATGCAGCTGTGTTTTTGCGTTTCTCTTGTGTGAAATTTATTGCTAACACTCATGAGAGAGCCAACACAAAGAAGAAAGGGACATAATTTTTGGAGGAGGTGTTTGTGGTCTGTTGCCATGGGGGTGGAAGTTGGAGGTTGTAAAAACAGAGACACTGGAAACAATTAAGCCTTTCTTTAAATGTAATGAATACATTTGCTCTGAGGTGCCTTTCAGGAGCAACAATGTGCAGCTGGAGCTTAGCGAGATATGTTTATTTTGTGTCGGTGAAATGTTCCTGTCTTTGTGTCTGTGTTTTGTGATTAGCCATGACCAGGTCAAGTTGAACAAATGCTCAAAATATGTTTCTTTCGAGAACATTATCATGCCAAATGTGGTCGGGCAGCAGATCACCAGCACACACAGCTTCATTACAGTCACCTAACTATAGGCAATCAAACCATTATCGGTCACAATCTGACATGCAATAAAAGAATACCAGCACAAATCTTATTGGTAATTAATATAGATGTTCTTTACCCCAAGCATTTTAGCATCAAATTAGAGTTTTTTTTTATGAAGAAAACAAAACACATTCAAACCAATCACAGTGGGAATCTGTGAGACTGCCGATGTTAGGATCACTGGAATGGGGATTAGTCAAAAACGTGCATCTGGGGTGGGGGGGGACTTTCCAAAACAACATTAAGGGCACAGGTAGGAAAGATTTCCAGGGGGCGGGAGGAGCAAGAAAGGTCAAATTTTCAAACTGGGTGCCTTTCTTACCGCTATGACCCTAGGAGAGTAGTCCCTGTCCACAAGCCGCTCAAAAACCCGGAACTCCATTCTCTGATTGACACAGTTACTCATCTGGGGGGGTTGGAAAGATTAAGAATGGCCATATTGTACATTCAAAAGCTATTTATGTTTTGAATATGTAGGCTTGCGCTGTAGTCAGTGGCACAGGGAATGTGTCATTGGCAGACAGAATAAAGAATAAAAAGAAAAGAAAATCAGCCTTTCCCGCAGGCAAATTTTACACTGACTGTAACAGTTTAAGATTGAGACAGTATAATTACCTTAAATACAGCCAAATCTCCCAAATGCTGCATTTCAAGGGGTGCATGCTAAAGCTCTATTCATGAACATAACAGTATTTTACCGAAATATCACAAAATATCGACTATCAGAAGTGAGTTTTCCACGGGATGACCTTCTAATCCAAGAATAGGGATGCCCCACTGTTTCGCAAAATGACAAAAATGTATTTTCTTCTCTGTCATTTGTAACTTACCTACAGGAGTAATCTAACTATGAAATGTTTGCATGCCCCTGTGAGGGGTGAGGCGTCCCCAGTCACTGGGCCTCCACCTGCCTGTTGGCCAGCACAGCCTGGTCCGTCCCTCGTACTCACCATGGCCAGTTCCGCCTCCAGCTCCTTGATGCGGTTCTCTTTGAGGTCGAGCTGGGAGCGCAGCATCCCCGTGTGCTCCGTCGCCTCCTTCGTCTGCCGCCGCAGGTCCCACTTCTCTCTCTCCAGGAGGTCTTTCTCCTTCGCCAGAGCCTTCACTGCATCCTCGCTCTCCTGGACGAAACACAGATCCTGATGGTTCGGTTCACACCAAGTTCAACTAAAAGGAACGGCTCGCGTTGAGACAAAGCCTCTAATTGTCAGACACATTTGCAGTGTCATCGACACCGCAACACAAGCTTTTCCCATCTAAGCGTGACATGATACAACTCAGTAGCACTGCACCACAACAGATTTGATCTTTTTGACGTGAGTAACCGCTGTTGCTAAGGGCACAGGCAAAGCGAGTTGGCAATTCGTCTGTGCACAAGAGTAGATCAGTGCACACATGTACAAAACACAGCAGAAGGATTCACTGATTTCATTGTTGATGCTTTGACATGGGTTGCATTTGCCTAGGAGATATTTTTCTGCCATGTGCATTCTGCCATGGCACAAAACAAAAAAGGGGTTTCACATAGATGTTGGTGTGCGTGCGCATGTGCACGCCCGCGTGAGCACATGAGAGCCGTACTTTTCTGTGCTGCTCGTAGTTGCGGATGAAGTCACGGAGCTGCTCCTCCCGGCTCTCCAGTGTGGCATAAAGCTGCTGCATCTGATTGACCAGGTCAGCTTTTTCAGCCTTCAGACGCTTACGGTCGGACTTCATGGCTGCAGAAACAGAGGCAGAATTCGAAGGGGAAGAAAGTCAAGCGGGAACGAGAGTTAACAACATAGACCTTCACAGTGTATAAAAAGAAGAATACACAATAATCAATACATGGAAAATAAAGTATGATTTAGCAACATGTAGAAAAAAGGCTATGGCAGAATATTTCTATTTAGAAATAAATATATATATACAAATTAATCAGGAAGGATTTTTTTCATTACTATGTCCTAACAGATAAAATCTTCAAAGCTCTCTTTTTATTAGTGGAAAACACAATTTTCACTTAAAATAGGAAATTACTAAACATCCAACAGCACGAAGGTCTGAGAGGCAAACGCTGGTTTCTTGTATCCAATGCGTCTTGAATTGAAGGATCAACATGTGCCGGCCACAAGTCCAGTTCATTTGCATAATGGCTAGGATATTAGGCTCCTTTTGATATGAAAAGTGCAAATAAAAAAATTAAATACACCTGCTGCAGGTTGTCTAATATGGCATGACTGCATGTTGATAAAGGGGTGAAACACACGTGAACCCTTCTGTCAATCTTCCCTCTGCTGCTGGCTTCGTTAGAGGCTCAGACTTGCTTTTTTTCACCTATCTCTCTGCCACACACTCTCTGTAATCCTCTGGCTCTGCACCCACGCATCGTGATAAAGAATACAGTTCACAGTGGTTATTCAGAGAAGCTCTAATTTTCTGAGATTTCCTCTTTTTTTTTTGCCCTCTGCATCTGCTTCATCTGTTTCTTCTCCTGTTTTCTCTTGATCTTCGCAGCCTCCTCATGCACAGCTGTTTGCCAGACATTTGTTTCAAGCAGAGTTTCCCTCGAGGTAACGATGACAATATTTCTTGCTCCCTGTCTGTCCACCTTTATCTTGCTCACTTTTCGGTTTATTTCCTCACAGCGCAATTGCTTTGAATGAAAATGATCATCGACAACATTTTTTCCATTTCCCTCTCGATGCTTCTTATCATGCGTTCACACTCCCATTCGCACCATCTGATCCAGCCGTGTGTCATTAATGAACTAATATCATATCCTAGTTAATTGTGTGACATTCACAAATAGACTCTGGAGAGCGTGCTCAGGCAAGTTTAATGGAATAATAGTCTTCCAGGGACTCTTATTTCCTCTTTTCTCTTCCTGTGACATGCCCATATCTCTCCCGAACACTCGCTCTTACAGGTGGAATCCTCAGGCGAAAGTTAGAAACAGGGCCACACTGGCTGGCGAACGGAGACAAAAACCATCTCTCACTGACCAAGAGAAACAGGAAACCTCAGAGCACCTGCCTGAGGAAGTGAAATGAAAGCAGTCTTTGACATGAGCCAAAAACTGGGTTGCTGCCTCACATCCTGCACCTGTGACCGTTTGGCAACAACAACCCTCCTGGTGCTGGACGCAGGAAAGCACTCGCTGTGACTCCGTGAAAGGATCCATTCACTGCTGCGAAATCACGTTACAATTACCTCCCAATTAAAACCGTTTCAGAAACGCTCTCAATAAATAAAGATGCCGTTATGTCGCGTTGAAGAACAGAGGAAAGAAGGAGAGGCACTTCCACTTCTCCTGTTGACAGCAACATTAATCCGTACTCGGATTGTGGCGCGGTCCAAGCCTTCAAGAATTATTACCAGATGAATCCGGGACCCATCTGGAGTGGGGGCTAATGTGCGCGGAGCTGGAGGAGGATGATGACATGTTTAGAAAGCTGTGTAATGGTGTTTCCAGGGAAAATCTTTGCATGTTTTTGCAGGCCCCTGTTCCCTTGTAAGCCATGCATTCTATACAAAGACAGAGAGTCAAAGAGTCAAAGACAACCGGTCAAAATATCTGCCTCCTTTCTGTGTTTTTGGCTTTAATAGAAGAGATTTAGGCCTTTATGAGCTTTGTTAAAGGAACCGTCCTGGTTTATCTTTCAAATCTGCCAGACTTTTAATCTTGACTAATGTCTTTTTTTGCATTTCTGGTTTGAATCCTGGGCCCTCCTGGTGGAGTTCTCCATGTATGCACTGCCGGGAATTTCGATTTCCTCCCACCATCCAAAAACATGCCCATTAGGTTAATTGCTGACTCTTTATTGACTGTAGAAGTGCCTGTGAGAGTGCATGATTGTCTGTCTTCTTTGTCTCCTAGTGATCGACAGACGGCCCATCTAAGGTGTATCCTTCCTCTCACCCCACAGGTTGGAGAAGAGTCCTTAAGTATGTCAAGATCCTGTCCATAAGTGACGGCAAGTCGAAGCAAGAGATGGACAGACCAATAGCAGCTTTCAGGGAAAAGTAAGGGCATTGCTCCACGCTGCTGTGTGGAATAGGGAGCTGAGCCAAGAGGTGAAGCCTACAATTTACCGGACCATTTTTAGGGGTTGTCACGAATACAAGCTACTGAAATGGGTTTCGTTTGGCGGGTGGATGATGTGACATCCCTGGTCTAAAATCAGTTTCACTGGTAAAGGGGTGTCTTTCCAGAACCTGTTGCCTCCACGGAGGACAATGGATAGTCGGATAAACTGGCTTTTCATGATGATGATGATGATGATGATAATTGTTGTACTAATTTTCTTTGTTATTAATAATATTAACATTATTTGTAGTAGTAGTATTAGCATAAGTATTCTTGTTGTTGTCATAATCATCATCCCTATATTTTCTCCCTGATTAAAATGTCAATGACTGTCTGCTTTTTTTTTTGCAAAGTGATGAGTGCCTGCATGCAAATGCCAATAAAAGCCACTCCAACCCATGAAATAGAAAAATGGGGTTGATCAGGGCTCTTGCTGCACAACCGTCAAAAGTCCACAGCTCCACGGCCCCATGTTAAGAACAAAAATACCTGCCTGTACCACGCTCTCCTGACACCCTCTCTAAAATCTGCATAAGTGCTTTTCAGCTCACCACGAAAGGCTCTCCTGCTACTAAATCCCTTGTGTTTTGAAGTAGCCTAATATGAACATCTACAGCTTTGGTGCACTAAAAGCCTTTATCCACAGGACTTCTCTATAATACCTTCTTCTGGAGAGCTTAATGAGCGAGCAAAAAAAAGACTTACAACACAGAAATCATGAACTACTCAGACATCTACTTAAGGGTTGAAAATGATTTCAGGGTTCCTAACCCCCTAATGAATGTGAGCCCCCTCTGCAAATGAAAGCAGTTACCATTCATCTATAGTAAATGTAATGTATTAATACAATTATCGATTGATGAATGAATGAATTAATTAATTAACGATTTACATTGATATTGTCTAACCCCTACACAGACACTACCATCTTCTCAGTCTCATGTCAATAATATCACTTCAAATTAACTTATACAAACATTTTAATATGTTTATGTTGCCATTTGTAAAGATAATAAAGACACAAGCGGCAAAAGTCCTTAAGACCATTTTTGATTAAAAGTAGACAAGAAACCAGATCCAGTGATCTTGTGTCCTGGCTCACCATTTAAAACCTTGGACTAGGCTGTTTTTTTTTTTTTTTAAATATCCCACTCACAGGTTCCATAAGCTAATACATTTATCTTTTTAAGGTTTTTCCAGTCTATTGTGATGCCAAAACTAGATTCCAACCCTGACTGACAAATCAGCTTCATTTCTACATAGATTCACATCTGCCAAAAGGCTCTGACAGTAATTGTGAGAAAGCCATAGCATCAACCGACGTAACACTTTAGGGATATTTAAAATTTCAATAGTGTTTCAATAAAGGCTTTTTCCCAAGCTATTTCAGTTCACCTGCCAGAATCTCAAAGACCCACTTATGAAGAAAAACTCCTCTCACCGTTGATGAGAAAACAGCCCACGTTGACACTGTTCCATATAACTTCAGTCTTGAAGAGACTGAACAGGCTTTTAGTCAACTCGTATTATAATCATTTTTGGAGTGAACGGGAGACTCTGACACATTGCAAATGGCCTTTTTTGGGGTTTGGGACTTTAGTCTGCCAGCAGAATAATGAAGAAGGAACCTTGGAACAGCACGGAGCGATAACCTTCTCAATCCTTCAACAAAAGGCACGTGGGGCTCGATAAGGCCGAAGTCTAAAATTGTACCATTTGAAAACACTATGGCAGTACCACCTGTAGCATTGTAATCTACATTTTTCTGGTTTGGGGAAAAAGCCAAATTATTTAATGATAACAATGTGAGAGATTATTACAGACATACAATAAAAAAACATAGGAATTCTGAGCAGTGGTCTCACACACAGTTTGACATATCTTAAAAATGTAATCCTTATTGCAATACTTTATAATAAAGCTTCTGCTAATGAGGAGCTAACTCTTAAAAGAAGACAACCCTTGTGGACAAGCATAATTAAAAGTTAGAGGAAAAGAGCAATTTATTTAATTTTATGAATTCAAGGATCCAGTTGAGAGTTATCAGCACTCAACGTTTGTTTTTTGTATGCGTGCATATCTCTGCATTGGTGTTTAAACAGAGGAAGAATGCTTTATAGTCAAGGACAAAGTTGCTACAGTATATGAAATGACACTAAACAGAGCTGGCAGACTGCGCTTTGATGGCACAAAGCTGTCTGCTGTTTTCATTTGAGCTCTGAATTCATGGGAGGTCCGTCAGTATTAATATGCCCGAGTGAAACCAACTAATTGAAAAAAAACACAAGAACAAGGGCCTACATTACTTTAAAATCAATTAACTAAGGATTATATGAGACGGTAAAGATAAGAATAAAAATAATAATAATAATCAGCATCTTAAAACGGTCTCTCAGCTAAATTCATTTTCAGCTGTGTGAGTTAAAAGTAGAGGGCATTCAATCATAACAAAGCAACCTTTTTAAAAGGTTGGCAATTACCCTTGATTAGCAGAATCTTGTTCACAGACCAAACTCTGCTACACATTGCCTGCTAAATAAGTCTTGAGAGAAAAACAGTTCAGGCAGAATCACTTTGGAAAGAAAGCATCAAATAAGAGAGACAGCAGGGAAAAGAATGGAGTAAGTGGAGGAAAAATGGACTAAAAAGAAGCCTCCTCCTCATTTGTGTTCTTTGTTTTTTATTCATAGGGAGTAGAAAATCTGCATGCAATTTACCTGCAAACCATGTGAACTGAGGTAGGAGCGTCAACACAGCTTCTGTGAACCATTCCTAAAGTAAACAGGTATTATCTGGAGTGGCAGAAAGGAAAGGGCCGATGGGTGATGCATTTCTTTCATGCAACTTCATCAGCCCAGCCTCTTTCTTTTTCATCCAATGCAGAATCAAAGGAAAAAAATAAATAAAGTAAATAAGCTACTCTGCTTCTCAATAATTGCTGGTAGAACTTCAATAATAACAGTAAGGGAGCTCTGGGCCCTTTGAACACTGCTTTCATTCTTCTGGGGAAAAATATTTTTGCTGCCGCATATGGAGAGATGAAACAAAAACTGAAGAAATAAAGTGGAGTCTCCATCTCGCTTCTTATCAATTTGGAGCATATGGAAATTGCTTTTAATGCCGTAGTTCAAGTTTTTCTATTTATCATCAAAACTGCTTTAAAATACAATTTGTTTTTTTTTTAGCTTAATCCAATAGTTCATATCATTTGTTGTATTACAAAGCCCTAAAAAAGCATTTCAAAACATTTACTACTCAACAAGTCAACTTGTAATAATCATAGCTTCCAATATAATTTATAAACAATTATCAATAGACCCACTATTGTCCATTTATTTCACATTTGCTTGTATGATGACTCATGTATGTTGGACTGCCTAACTCGTGTTTCCACATCAAGTTGAGATCACTAGATTTCACCAGTGTCAATGTCCACAACAACAGAAAACAGGAACAAATCTGTTAGACAAGCAACAAAAACAAAGAAAAAACAAAAAAACATGGATGGCAGACTATATTTAACCATTTCAGAGAAACAAGCCAAAACTCATTGGCCTTTTCCCACCCAAAAGCAGACAGTGTAGAGCAATAACAACAGCAGCCATGCCATAGCGGCTTTAGAGTGTGCAGCAAGTTCAGGTCTGGCTTTATGAAGACGGAGAGTGACAACTATCGACTAACAAAAGCGCTGGAAACCGGTCAAAGCTGCGCAGACCAGGTCAGGAAGAAAATATAAACACCGAGCTGAAATATTCAAAACATCTTGCTGCTGTCACATCTAAATGCAAATGCGGTTATGTGTGTGTCTGTGGGCTGAGTCCCATTCGGGCATTAGTCCCCCATACCGGCTTTAAAAGCAATATTAGAAATGAAAGAAGCAAGGAGAAATTCTTCTCGCTTAAGTTCACAGTTAATTTAATTAGCCCTTCTGAGCCCACTTCAACGGAACCGAATATAACTCCATCCAATTTCCTCTTGTTCTCCCACATACCTCACCCTAACTGCACAGTGGATACACTCTGCTTAACATTCCTGGACCTTGTAAACCAAGCAAAGTCCCCTTTTATCAGACTTTCATTAGCTTCTGAGGACCGTCATGCCTGCTCGGGCTGGTCCGCCGTGGCCTTCATCAATAGCAGAAATGACAGCATGGAGCTGTCCGCGGTCCGTTTAGAGAGCCGAAAATCCAACTGAGGAACAGATAAGTATTTATTTAATGTGCACTCTATTCCGCTCTGCCCTGGCCCATTTTGTTTTCATTCAATTCCTGCAGCAAGCGTGGGCTCAAAGAGAGTCGAGTGAAATGTCACAGCAACAAAATCTCCGAACGGAGCGCCGCGCTTTTTGTGCGATTCCGAGAAGTGCTTCGGTGCTCTGCCTCATTCCACGGGCGAAAAAAGAAAGAAGGTTCATTGCCATTCAGATTACATCTTTCTTCGGCGCCCTGCAATGCGCTGAGCTCTGCCTGAGAGAACTTGTTCATAACTTTGCAGTGTGCACATTTTCTGTGAAAGCAATTTTGCGAGCGTATTCCCACTTGACACACACTCAGCCGTAAAACACAGGCAGGGGACCAGCTGCTGCCATACCTTATTATCTGTGCAGACAAGCACGGAGCATTTATTGGGGAAGAATTATGGCTATCTTGAATTTCGAATGTGTGTGGCCATGTGACACCTGCCAGCCACTGTAAATTATTAAGCTTGTAGTTCCACATCATTATGCTGTCTGGATTCTACGTTCAGAATCTGCCACTGTCGCTTTCACTGACACTTCTTCAGTCCAGCTTCCACGAGGGCTGCCGAGTGGAGGCAGAGCGGCGGGATTTGTTCTCAGCATGACGCTGAATAAGGAAAAAAAATGTCAAATCACTGGTGTACTCCCTCACCCTCAAATGCCACTACATAATCTCTCGGGCATAACACATGCTAATGGACCATAATGCAGCTAATGGAGTGCACGGAAAACTCTGTTATACACTCTCATGTTAACATTACGGTGGCGAGAAATAATGCAGCAGTTCCAGGCGCTATGAAGCTAAATGGAGCCGGCTTTCTCTCTGCAGGAGTGGGGGTGGCAGGCTGAAATCTAAAGCAGCCGGGTGCTGAATGATTACACAGTGCTTTGACCAGGAATAGGGAATTGCAGCCTCTCTGCCCCGCTTAGCATATTTACAATTTTCCACCTTCACTTTCTCTTGTCCAGTTAAGTTTTTCTAAAACACAGCGTTGATTCTGTTCAGCCACAAGATTAAAATCACTGGCAGATAAGGCTAATAATATTAAGACACTACACTGTAACCCTGAGCATTTAACTTTGATATGCTTCAAACACCTGAATGATACCATTAACAACAATTGCTCCCTACATTTCATAGGAACGGTTGGAGAACCCGACAGATCACCACTCCCAAATAAACAGATCCTGGAACATTTAGTTTCAGAAAGAGTTTTAGTGAAATTACGTCCTGTTTGTTGAAAACAAAAAGGTTCCTGATCGGCTATCAGCATGTGGCAGGTTGTGAATGAGAATGTGTTATCTGCCCAGGCTTTAAACACCAGAAGTGCCGTTATCAGGGTGGGGACTTTAGACGACAACAATACGCTGTGGTACAATATCACACGTGTATCTATGTATCATTCAAATCGTTTCATGGTACTTTAATCATTGAGAAATGATCAAAAGTGACCCAAACACGCCCCCTGTCTCCTGCAACGCAACAACAGCAGTAAAACTGCTTTTGCTTTAACTCAGCTTGACATTTTTATGATGAAGTCATCACCTTGCAGGGCCTCCTTGGCTCGATCCAGCTCCTGCTCCTTCTGGGCCAGCTGCACGCGCAGTTCTGTGGCGGACAGCACGTCGGCCGAACATCCTCCCTGGGTCTCCTCCAGGTCTTTGCTCAACATGTCCTTCATCTGCCGCAGCAGGTGCACTTCCTCTTGGAGCTGGGCCACCTCCTCCCGCAGCAGAACTAAAACATATAATGGAAAAAGAGGAGCTTTTAGTGAGCTGACACAAGAAAAAGTTACATAAATCAATTTAAAGAACACAGCTCTGCTCTGCGTGGTTTTGATTTTTTCATTCAGCCCCAAGCACAGTATAGTTTTTAAAGTCAAAGTTAAAGCTTCATCAGAAAGAGGCAGCCGTGAAGTGTTTTTTTTTTTAGCTCCAACAAAAGTAACATTTATTAAAGGCTATCATGGTTCATTTAGTTCTTTCACACCAGGTTTTTCTTTATGTTTTATAAATCTGTGTGTATGTCTCCATATTTGTGTTTTATGTGAATCTAGGACAATGGCTACAAACTGTATACTTGCTTATGTATCTCTGTGTCGATACGTGAACAGTTTCTGTTTTGATGGTCAGCACTTTAGGTTAAAATGTAATGTAGTTTGTATTATAAACAAAACAGTGACTTTAAATTAACCCTTCATATGTGCTTAGTTGAATAGTATAGTTGAATAGTTGAAGAAATTGCTACATTTGAAATGCTAAATCAATTTGAGATTTCCATTGGATGTTATGGTAATTTAATTTCTGACTGAGGTAAATAATGCAACAAATCCATTAATGTAGGCAATACCAACAACACAAAAGACGCGTTCCAGTAGATGAATAGAGACCAGGCACTTTCACAGATACTTTGATAGCGTTTTTCTTTCCACCTGCCTTTTGACTCTAGGTTTTCAAGAATTACAAGAAAAAGCATCCATTTAATATTCACTTAACAGGGCTTCAAAGTGCCGCATTCAAGTGTCGTCAAAAGAAGAAGAAAACAATAAGATGAAAACAGCAGCAGAGAGAAATGCATTTTTTCTCTTCCATTTTGAATCACTGAAGACGTATTAAATGCTTTCGAAATCCCAGCAGCGGAGAAAAAGTTGCACTTGTTTTTAAAATAAGCCACAACAGAGAAATATCACACTTGAGTTTCTCACATCAAATCAAAAATAATAATTATCTAATCTAAAACTGAAGCGTTTCGCACATTTGGCTGTGACGACGGCATGGGGAGGGTAATTTACAGAGGGGTAAGAAGAGTCATTCGGCTCTATTGTATGCATCCTCATGGGAAGGGTGGGGGTGGCGGGGAGTAGTGTACCTCCATTAAATCACTTTTCATATTCATGTATCACAACTTCAGCATGACAGTCTAAAAAAAAGAGATGGATGGCAGACTTGAGGAGGGATGTGTAGAAATGGATATTGAGTAACCCAATACAGTGTGACATTGATGGAAGCCCATACAGTCATCAACCTACACTTTCACAGATTAAGAAATGCTGTAAATTCCACAATTAAATCTGATACTTTCCATATCGTATCACCAATTATTGAACACAGGTTCTACCAAAGGAATATATTGACACTTCGCAGTTAACCTTTAAAATAATTAACATATCTTTGAGTGTTTTTTTACTATTTCCTACAACAATATTGCCATTGTGCTGACATATTTCCATTAAACTGCCGTTCCAAACTATTTTGTCACTTTGATAAATGCTCAGTAAAGGTGTTTCGTTCGCTGGCTCTGAGCTGCCTTTTGTTGTGAGAACAATGGCCATTGATTGCAGTCCGTGTGGATAATGAGATATTTCCAAACTGCTTTTGTTATCATCTTAGTGATCCAGGTAAGATACTGGTGAGATGTAATGCTGTCAGAAACAGCTACATCTCACAGAAAAAGACCTTGGAGAGGCAATCCAAATCCCTTGAAAAAAAAAACAAGTTTTCCAAGTAGCTTTGAACATTGTACCTGACAAATCCCTTCAGAAACAAGTTCAGCTGGTGAATGTGTCAAGTCGAAAAGTAATGCAAGAGAGGCCAGGTTCTGATAAGAATGTATCTGTTCTCAGTTTTAGGCAAAAGTGTTTCAAAGAATTTGGACATTATTATTATTAATATTATTGACGTTCATTGCTAACAGTGACCTCCCTTAAAAAATTCTGCACAGTCCTGTTTGTGTCTCCTTAATTCAGTATTTCAGCAAAAGAATTTTCAGACCGTCCTCATTTCTCTAACAATATACCTGAGGCATTTTTCTGCTTGGCTCTGCAACTACGATTGATATCTCCAGCCGAAACACGAGAGACATTCAATAATATAACAAAATAAAAAAACAGGCGATAACAGAGGGTGGGTGGTGCTTTAAAGTCTTGGGTTTTAGCTCCATAGCCTCCTTCTTGAGCTCATATTTTCTTTCCTGAAGTGGAAAGTAATCGTTCTGATGCATTTGGAGCCTGTATGAAAAGCACCTGCATCCCAGAGCTTTTGAGCCTGTTAAATCATGTTTGTGACTTAATCTTTGTGGCTGAAGATAAGTGGGGTTTGAAAGCAAAAATTAAATGTAAAAGGGGTAATTAGGCGAAAGGTCAAGAGAAAAATGCTGGTGAGTAGAGTGTCATTACACAGAGGTATATACTTAATGGACCCAATAACAGATCCACATTTTATGGAGGAGCCGAAGCAGCGACACACAACTGTTCGAAACCACTGACTGAACAGTATAGCTCACTGGTTTTCAAAAAGCCAATAACAGTCATAGTTTATACGTTCATTATTCACTTCTATTGATTGTGCAAAGGCAGGAGCATTATCAGTGATAAATAAGGGATAAGGACTGTGATAATTTGTTTTTTAATAACCAAAAAACTAGCCCAGAGAAAAAGCTTACCTATTCATATCAAAGAACAAAGTTCTTATAAATTCATGTAAAAAAAATTGATTGATAGTATGTTTAAATAACGTTATGTCTGTATCATTACATGCCTTACAAATTTGTTTATGTTGATTGAAGATTTTTCCTCTAAAATGATATGGTTGTAGATATTCCACCGTGGTCCATGTTTTGTATGTATAAATATAAATGTATATCATGTTTTATCAGAATCAAAGAAATGAGAGGACACAGAATCTGTAATAAATCAGAGTTTAGGCATCTCATTACCTGAAAACAGAAATCCACAAAAGAACTGCTAAGCCGTATGTGGCCAAAAGCCAAAAGTTCAAAGCGATCTGTCTCGTACTATTAGGCGGCTGCGGTCAGGACATAGACTGTACTCAACAATGCTGGCTTTCATTCACATGTTCCAGGTGGTGCTGCATTTATCATATAACTTGGGAAGGCCTAGGTTGCCATTAGGTTCTGAAAAAAGCCATTCAAGGCTGAATGGTGTGTAAAGGCAATACAAATATGTCGTCTACATTTCAAGCTATGACACGTCAAATTCTAATATGTCTCTTTTTGCTTGACATTCAACATCTGTATGCAGGTTGATGCTTTCAAAACAGCAAAAATGACTTCTGAAAGACTGTGTGAGGTGGGAAAAGATATGTTATTGGCTTCCCCTGCTTTCTGGAGGTATGCACAGAGCTGAAAGACTCAAAGAAGACAAACTTTGCATGGAGGGAGGGAGCAGGACGAGGTGGGGTGAAGATTGCTACCTATTTTTCACTGTCTGTGTAGCCTCTGGGTTGCTGGGAAGCATGCACTGTAGCTTTTGCATTACAATGACAGAGTGGGGGCTTCCTGATAACCGCTCTCCTCTCCAGGTATCCATACAGCTCATTCCAATCCAGGGCGCTCCTTGCAAATGCTGCGAAATCTTATCTCAAGGACACTGACTTAAGTTAGGAATAAAGATAAAATATGCAATGAATAGACCACAATTTTAAAAAATCGTTGTAAAAATGTATTCACAGCTTTTCGTACAGAAACCTTTTAAAGACAGGGTTGAGAGGAAAAGTGAGAAAAGACGAGCCTGTTTATAACAGTGTCCCCACTCAGCCCTCAACACAACCCTCTGGCTTTGTTTATTTCTCCTTTCAAACGGATAAAAATGAGATCACAAGTTTCTGCCGGCATGTGGATCTGTGAACTGAATTCTTGTCACTTCCAGCTTAACCTTGAACCTACCAAAGGTAGTAAAATCTACAGCACTACTTTAAAAAAGGATGAAACTGATTATTTTGTCCTGCTGGGATTTTCCTCTACTGTGTAAGAAAGTATTGGATGTGGAAAATAATAGAGAATGCAAGAGTAAAACTTGAAACCCGATAGGACAAAATCTATGAATCTATGAGGCAAATCTATTTGATAATGGGATTATTCACAGAATGATGACCAGCACTTTGATCTGTACATTACTGTACTGTATTGAAATGGACACATTTTTGGATATTTTGGAGCCAATGCCTCACAGCCCATTTTTTTAATCATAGTCGCTAAAAATCAATTACCACTGAGTGGAAGTGACAAAGTTATTCATTTAATTTTGGTAAGCTGATGAACTTGCAACATGCAACAAAGTATTTACCCTATGCGAGGACCCCACTGTTTTTTTCCCCCTCAGTGAAGACCCACAGGTTTTGATCTTTAGCTTCTCTGTGTCCAGCAGCGGCCGCTGATGGCCGTTGTTTGATGCTGAGCAGAGAGTTTGTTTTTGTGGGCTTTTTGCAGAAAAAAGCCCGGAAAAACTAGCTTTTTACCACTGCTGTGGTTAAAGCTAATGTTACGGAAGCCGAGTTCCCCTCAAGAGGGCATAAAGTCACAAAAGAACCACCACTCATTTCATACTGCCGGGAGTGCTGGCAGCCAGCACTTAAGTTCAATACTTTTCACTCAAAGTGGTTTAAACTACCAAGGGTCAAACATTTACTGGTGTGGTCACTTATGAGACCAAGATACTTCCACCTTTGAGTCTTTCTGGCTTTTGGAAGTCGAGAGCCAACAACCTGTCTTCATCAGATCACACTGTGAATATACGTTCAAGAATCTTTTTTACCTAAATGTAAATTTTTCATCGAATTATGTGCAACAGCTTTATTCACACTCCCTATCCAGATACCCCAGTCTGCTGCACAGACATGAAACCTATTATCACAAAGCACAAATCTCAGCATATGAAATCTGGGATGAGATGTTACAAATCCTGTATTTTTAAAGTAGGATTTAGATACCCTGGTCACCTTAAAGCGTCTCAGTATGTCTTAAGGTGTGGTGATATGCTGCTTGTTGATTTAGGGTCTTTCCCGTAATTCACTGTGCATGGCCACATGTCAAATTTAACTTAATGTGTTCTGGGATATGATTTGAAATTTTAATTTTTAGAAAATAACTACCAGATAGGCCTTTCGTTTTCTATCAGTTTTTGGTTCGCATCCAGGATCGATTTGTCTCAAAGAAGGCTAGTCTCTTTTCTGTCTTGTCTCTTTTGCTCTCCCAATGTAATTCTTCTAGAGTGACTGTCAACATCTAAGTCAAAATCAATCATAATAACACTCTGAGTCACAAAGCAAAATAATTTGATCAGATTTGGCTGCACTGAATTGACTGTCTTTCTACAAACAAGACAATATTAACAGGTAGAAGTAAATGCAGTGGTCTCACCAGCTAATATCTAGATTCTATTATATCCTGTCCTATTATATAAATATCCTTCAGCCTCTTTGAAATTAACTTGGGATCGCTGGTTACAATTTTGAATGAAAAAGCATGGTGACATTTACAAACCAGTAATCACAGGAGGATTTGAGACTCTTGGCTAAAGTGCCTTAGATGATGATAAAAGAAGTCACAAGAAAAAAAAAGTGAATGAGCAAAAGGCCCAAGTGCACCTCTCCTAATTTGAGCTATTTAATAATATTGTCAAAAAAAAGAAAGTCCCTGCCTGGCATATAAACTTACAGTTTTAAACCATTGTATATTCATGTATATTTATTATTCAAAAGGAGTCCTGGAATTTTAAAATCAGCTGCACATCAGTAGAAAATTATTAAGACTTCACAGTTTTAAAGCATCTGAAAACGACATAACTACCCCGCCACCCCAACCCCATTAAACAGTTTCCATCAGATAAACAACTATTAGAACTGGAATATCAATGTGATGTGGAACATTTTTGGATAATTGATAACGTATATTAATTCCGGCTAACGCAAACAAAAACTGCTTATAAGGGAAACTGGAGGCTGTAACATGAAAATGGGTCGTTGTCATAAAAATGCTAGGTTGCTGGAGACTGTTGTGTACTGTGCATTGATCTTATAGCCGATAGATTTAATTAAATTTAGCCTAATCTAATGAAGCTCATTTAACGTGTGCCTCTGTAGTCCTTTGCTTCTATTTGTGCCACGGGGATTACAGTGAAGCTAACGAGAGCTGTCTATGATGATGATCTATGAGGTATGCACATCTAGCCATCCCCCTCCATACCTGCCTCTATTCTGTACCGGTCCCAGTTATCATGATCCACCGAAACGGTAAACAAAATCTACGTCCTTGGCCACTGATCTGCAAGACTGTTTAAATGTGTGCGTCTGCATGATAGCAGCCATGCGTCGGCTGACATCAAACCCGTAGCAGTGGATTACGAACGCGATCAGTGTCATTTCCTATTTGCATGATTTAAGCAAAGTGGCTTGAACTGTCTCCATAAATAATCAGGCAGCCTTTGGGTGACGTTTTTGGGTAAGGTGGGAACAAGCCATAAAATGACTCTGAAATATCAGTACATCTCTGAAAGCTGAACTTTTATCATCTGCTCTTTATAAAGTCCTTTAACGATGCCAATAGGAGATTAAACATTTTATGCGAACGTATCAAATATATTGGAAATGGATCTTTCTTTTTCAAAATGGTATCTGTAATTTATTTAGTGGGGTGCTGACCAAAGGATACTTAGTGTCTCCTTGATGTTTGATTATTGAATGTTAATGTATTAAATGTCTTCTCTCTGTCCGTTTCTGTCTCCATCTATCTATGTCTCCTGGTAACTTTTGCTTTTACGCTCTTATCATTCTCTGAAAATCCTACTCCCACAACTCAGAATCCAAAGTTGCAAAAGGTCCTGCAATCTGTCAGAGAGTCCAGTGGCCGAGAGGCAGCTGAAATTGGACTCGGCTGGAACGGCCGTGGAGGTTGAAAATTGATAGAAAACGACAGCAAGTGTCTAGAGGGGGGTAATTTTTAGATTGGTTTTCCTTCTTTTGAGAGAGAGGGAGGGAAAGACAGGATGGACTTCAATTTTTGCCTGATACTGGAGACAAAAATCAATTAACAGGCTCATTGTTCCCACAGAATTCTCACTCAGCCGACTCTCAGAGTGAGGAGTCACAGGCCAACCGTGTAGAGCAGATGATGACAATATCAATGTTCCTGCTGTGACAAGCGGCTTTAGTCCGACACGTATGCTGGGTAATAGCTGCACATACTGAGTGCAAATAATGGATTTGTACTTTCGTAAGTGTTTCAAATGATGTGAATGCAATTCGGCAGCACAACACGCACCTCCATCTTTCAGATTTACCACAGCATTAACAGGCAATCAAATCAAGTCACAGTGTTACAAAATCAAAAACTTCCAAACATAAAGGCCTGCAGAAGAGTCATTTATAATGGTGTAATGCACTTTCCCCCGAAAACAATTTTCCGCTAATATAAATGGCTGTGCAAATTGTATTCGATGTCAATGCAGAGGATATTGTAACAGTGATTTGCAGGACAAAAGGAACAACCCTGTTCAGGAATGTGTCAAATAAGAAAGGGGATGTAAGAGCAGCCAGGGTCAAGAATGTGAGCAGCAAGTGCTTTCATGACAAGAGGCAACCGCTCACATCCTCTTATTTGTTTTGGACTCGGCAACTGAGCCATGGCTGTGCTTGAGTAAATGCACTCAAACTGATCATCTCAAAAACCCATTCAGAGATGCCCCGTTGAGTTAAACACCTTCACCGCAGCTCTTTCAATGGAACGAGAAAAACTGAATGTTCTGGATTTAGCAATCAGATAATAACCAAGTTGATTTTTTTTTAAGGAGAGTTTTTCAGTCATTCTTTTTAACTAAATACAATGCGACAGATTTAAAAAGCACACAATGGCCAGAAAGAAAATGAAAATGTCCCTGAGGGTTTGAAAAAGAAAGACAAAATGTAAAACGTTAACTGAATACTGAATAACATTTAACCATTTTTAGCCTCCTGCCATGTAGTCAAATTTGAGATATTTAAGGTTTTTCATGGCAGAAATGAAGCTGCTAGGAGACTGGCACGGATAAAGACCACAAGAAACACTCCAGCAAGACTCTGATAAGCCATATGCCTCAGTGGTGTTATCGGATCTCTGACTACATACCTCTCCGTCTAACTCTCCCAACCAGACATGCCTCCATTTTTCTGTGAGGACTGAATCCAAAATCTCATGGACGTTATCATGCATTTTCAAACTTCCTTGCAGCCAGAAGTGTTGCATATTGATTTAACAAAATAGATGGAACATTTATACCTTCACTTTCATAGGCTGTTCCTCTTTGCCTAAAGGGAAAATTATACCTCAACATTAACTGAAAATACACAATGGTGGATGCAAGCTGGGATGATGATTAAAGTTTGCTCTTCACCAACATGCATTCAAACATTGCTATTATTTGACATTACCTTCCTTGTGCCCTTATGTGAGATTGAATAATTCACCAATCAAATTGTCCTGCGTATTATGTCCGGGTCTTTTAGGGTTGTGATTTCAGAGTTTGTGGATTACCCCTTGTTGCTAATTCTTTGAACATTTCTGTGCGGCAGTTTCCCCAGGGATCGCTGCCTTCTGGAGAAAGCTGCTGCCATGAGGGGGTGTGCTTTGTCTGCAACAATGTGAAAGTGGGTGGCTGCAAGTCAAAGAAACATCCAAGTAAATAGAAGACCCAAGCTTTCCCAGCAGGGAAGTGGGCTGTACTGGAAGACTCAGCGGTTCTAACGTTGGAGGTTATCGAGATTTGAGGCTCCTTTATTTTTCAAGTCTCACTGTATATTCTTTGAGTTTTTCTTGTTTCCATCTATTGCTGCAGCAACACTTCCTTCCCGAACTTTGTTCTCGATTAATGTAATCTAATCAAATGACGTCAAGGGAATTCAAAACTGCTAAAGGTTTTGAGTGAATTCTGCTTTCACCGTCCTGATTAATTCGCACAGTTAGATTTAACACACCAAAAAACAGAAGAAAGACAGATGAACAGAGACAGAGAGATAAAAAAGACAGAAACCATTTGAACTGGTACCCCTGATGAATACTTCCGAGGGTGAAGTCAGAATAATCATCACAGGTGTAACTGAGGAGAGAAAGATCTGCCAGGCAGGCGGAAAAGGTGAGATTCTCCACTTTGACACGATTTGCCCTCATTCACATCTGATCCTGCGCACGCCACTCCGGTCAAAAGGCCTGATATACAGTCTTTCAACTCAACTGATATGCTGGAGCCATTAATAAAACTCGGGAGCGTCTGTCTGTCTCTCTGCGTCTCACAAACACTCATTTTCATGGAGCATCGATAGCAAATTCATCAGCGGTTCACGACGGGCTGTAACATCTAAGCTCTGACTGATGAAGGCAGCCTGCAGTGTCTGCTCTGTCTGGCAGTCCTTTTCTCTGGATTAGCTAGTCAATTCTCGTGAGCGGAACAATCTCCCTGCTTCGCCTGAGGAGATGACAGGGTCACGGCTGATGAAAAGTAGAGAGAAAAAAAAAACTGGGAAAGAAGCAGTGCCTCAGGGCCCTCCATCATTGAAATCACACTAATATTCTGCATTAACTGAGGCAGAGACGAGGAGAGATTGCTATCTGGGAAAACACACATGAGGATGGATGGCGAGATATTTATTGAGGCCTGCACACCAGCCAGGAGGTCAGGTTTGAAGTCTCTGTGGTCTTTAGCCTCATATAAATTCATGATTGCCCCAAAGTCAACATTTTTTTAAAGTTCAAGGTTTGATGAAGTGATTCTAATTTAAATGTATCCCTGAAAGTGTGAGAACATTCTGCCAAGTCACTCGATATTTACCTGATCTAAAATACAGGTTTTCAATCAGTCGATTGATCTTACATGAAGTAAGAAGCACAAACAAAACAGTATTTAAACCCAAGAACAGCTTGCTTGATATCCTGGAACTATAAAAGTGTTTTTTTCTGTTTGTTCTTGATAGATCAGGATCAGACCAGGCATGTTGCATGTTAAGTATTTTCATTTTGATTTAAATGGAGCTTCCAAACCAACAACAGGCCATCTCAGCCGCAGCTCAAGCCCCCACACATCTCCTGAGGTGGGTTACTTATTTTTCATACAAGAGGTAGTCTGTAGTTGCATGTTACGGCTCCCAAGTTACAACTTTTGCACTATCACCTTATGAGCCTATGAACCGTGGTTTATGCAAAATGTTTGTATCTGTGGAACGTACAGGAGGTGTCCCGTGTTAAAAAAATGACTGTGTGGCCAGCTGTTGATGGTGTTAAAGCAAACATTTAGGCTCAGCACAGCACTTCAGTAAGGCACTCGCAACACATGTTGCATTCCCATCAACTAGACCAGCAACTGAGGCAACTCCAGCTCTCTTCACTATCTTGCATCTCAGTGATCACTGTCATCATGTTTCCCCTCGAACGATTTAGCCTAAAGATTCAAAGCAAAGTAAAAACCTGATTTATTGCTCAGCCAAAAACTATTTACAGAATTCTAGGTTGTCACTATGAATTCGACTCAAAGATATTTGAATAAAAAAAAGTCACCCTCTGCATGACTCGCTCCATTCTAGTCAGTCTGTGTCGATCAAGTGGTCTTTGCTTCAACATCACAAAACCTGACATCCACATGCTGGCAAGCCTATTTCATGCTTCAAGTCTTTGGAGTAATGGGGGCTGAACTTGTGCAGGAGAAGTGGGCACAACAGTGAGAGGCTGGAGAGCAATACAGGCTGTAATCTCAACCATATTCCATCACAATCTGTGTCTGTTGGCTTCTAAACCTATTTCTGGCCAGCCATTGGCCAGAATCTTTTTTCAAAAAGAAACAGGAAAATGGAAAAAATAAGCTCTCAAGCAGATACAGAGACAACACTGTAAGTGTTCCTCAAAGAAGAAAAAAACAAGAAAACACATTTATTAAAAAAACACTAATCTTCCATTGGTGGACGGAGCATGAGTAGTTTAAACCCATCGTGATTCAGGCGCCCTGTCCCAGAGTTGCATAAGAAGCCCTCTTATTTTCATAGTCTGTACTTGCTCTAGATTGACAGTAATCCAACAGAACATGTCGGCTTTAAACTCCGTCTGCCATCTCTGAAGTAAAAACTGTAAACAGTGAGATTACCGTGCTTCTGAACGTACAGATGGACAGATATACGGGACAGCCTTCGGATTTTCTTCACCATGGAGACTAACAGCAAAGTTTCCACGAAACCGGAGGAGATGGTTGTGAGGGACAGATGATTAGATGGAAGACAAGATGACTGGTATTTAAAATCCTGACTCAGAAATGGCTGGCTGCTGCGGGAAAAGTAGACACATTTCTCCCTTTACAAAAAGGGGACAATGACATAAAACAAAGCATTTGCAATCAGCATTTTTTTGCTTGATATTCAGTAGGATTCTAAGCTTTTAGCATTCAAGATTTGTTACATGGCTGACAGAGTCAATGTTTCCAGTTGGGCTCCCAGAATCCCCAGAACCATTGTTTAGTATTTCATACAGAATGTGGTTTGGATTATTTTTGTATTTTTGTTTGAAAAAACAAGAAAAATAAATGAGCTATCTGGGTAGCCCAAAAAATGTTGGTCCACAGCCTGTATATGATGTACCTGCAATACTGTATCTTTCAAAGCATTGCCAAGCACTCATGTCTTATAGACCAATGAAAATGATTTATTATTCATTAAATTATTTGACTTGATAGATGATAGCTTTCCACTGTTTCTTTGTTTTATTTGCATGATACAGTGCTTTATAAAAGCAATTAAAGTTGTCTTCACGGAAAACGGTTTTCAGAAGTGTTCCTCTGCCCATTAAGTGATTTGAAATCCATAATCAAATTTCAATTGAATGTGGTTTGACTGAGTTAAAAGTTAATATTTTTTCCATACCTAAGCTATCCTTTGAACTTCATTAAATCAATTTTCTTGGTCAAAATGGTTGGGCGCTGATCTAACAGAGCCTCATTTCGAGTGAGCCACTTCAAAATTCATTCATGTTAATTACCAGATTTCATCATTTGTGAGATAGGTAAACGTTTTTTCTGTTCATACTCACACTACAACTTATCCAAATTATATGTAGGATTGAAGTAAATTCCTAATAAATTATTATCTATATTTTCAACATGATCCCAACCATTTTGGAAACTGTGTTATAGAATGAAGCATGGATGGGGCCATTAAAATACTGAGAGCTTCAGAAACTGCACATTAGCAAAAGTCCTTTCACAGCCATGGTAATGAGAGTTCTACCACTATGCTCCTCCAATGCCCTCATACTATTTTCATCCCATTTATCATCTTCCAGTATTCTGTGGTATGCATTCAGGTGAGGAATAAATGATGTACGAGAATACAAGAGGAGGGGACAATAATTGCAGAAGTTTGCACTATTTGGCTATTTTGTTGGATGACTAATTAGATTTACTTTGCCGTCTGACTTTTTGTGTTAATGACTTGGAACTTTGCTGAGGTGGTTAAAATAGATGTAAAATACCGTGGTGGAACTCTGGGAAGTTTTTATCAGGTGTGACAAGAATGCTTATGAGTTGGATAAGATCGGAAAATAACACCTGTCTTGGACAGGTTGGTATCATAAAGAGTGAATGGCACTTTGTCATTTGTTATGTTGTCATGTTGAAAAAACTAAAAAGCTTGTTTTTCCTCAATACTACTGATATAATAAATGTATAATATAAAGTAAAAATCTCGAGCCATCCTTCAATTCTCCATCTTCTTCCAGGAAAATGACAAGCTGTTAATTAAAATGTGCAAAATATAATTGAAAATGCATTTTTTGTTGGACACTGATGAACATTAAGTCAGCATTTTGTATGACCAACACTTCCAACATGGCTGGAATACCTTAAAACAAGCATTTTTTTATTTATTTAAGGAGTCTTGAGTAACGGTGCATCAGGCTTTTTTAACGTTCTTATTCGGATGTTGGCTACCCATCAAATACTCAGGTAATAATTTCTCTGGGAATCCTCTTAATTGTACAAAAATTGTATAACTTTCACAACACTATCTCCTAAAACCACTTAAAAAGTTGGCAAAAAAGTGTGATAAATTTGAGTTGAAATTAGATAAATAAGGGGGGGATTCCACTGTGAAAAAGACTCTGTCAAGCATTTAAACGTGTTCCCCCTGTTACATA